GTCTCCGATTCGGGAGCTGCCCACGGTAATGCTGGATGTTCCAATGCCGTTTGCGAATTTGTTTCATCCTCCAACGAAACTTTCGGGCACCCCCTTTGACGCTCCGCGTTTGTCCTGGTGCGAAGTCGACTCCAAGGCTGACCGTGGCATTGGACACCGCGCAGGCGAGATCCTTGAGAGACCTGCCCAGCTTGTTGGTCAGGGTTTGCCGCGATCCAAATGTAGTGGCCTTCGCTGCCGGAAATCCCAGATGAAGCTCAACGTCGAAAACTGTTCGTAAATCGTCGGCTGTCGCACTCAACGCGTCGATGACATGCTGCTCGGGGCCAGTGGCATACACCGTACCGTCGTCAATGTATGATGATAGGGTGACGTGCGGGTGCGAACTCTTCAAAAAACCCCAGAACGCACACCATGACTAATGCGTCGTTGAAAATGTCGCCGGCCGGCAGGCCCGACCTTGCAAAGAAGACCGCAACACAATGATGGGCCCCCAACCTCAAGATGCGGGGCCCTTGCCACAATATGTACATCGCCTTGACAATAACTCGCAAAATGTCGCAATAACGAAGCCCTTCCAGCACAAACGATTCGTACTGTCTAACACCATCCCAAAGAAAACCTCCAGTAACATCGCCATTGGCAGCGGCAGCTTCTGCGCGAACCGCTCAACTCCAGATCGCATCCTCTGCGCAGCGCCCGGCCCCGAAGGACCAATAAGCACGACGTGAACTGACCGAGAAGTCATCGAGGTCAGGTCGGCGAAGCCTCTCCCATGCCCTCACGAAGGAGGCCAGCAAGAGAATGGGTCTGAGGCCACCCTTCGGCTTTACAAGCAGGGGGGAAAGCATCCAAAGCAATTATTAAAGGAATCAACCCAATCGATCATATGCCTCGAATAACAATGCTAAGACGGTGATGCCTTCATCGCTCAGATGTCCAGCATGGCGAGGGTGGAAGCCATCCAACGACTGCGAAGTGTGAACGCTGGAAGAGCATGCCGCCGAGCGGATCCCCTGCACACATGCGCCTGGAAACACACTCCCAGTCGGGCACGCTGGCCAAGGGAGGACGTCCATCGGCATGCCACAATTCCGACAGTGCCTGCGCTTCTGCGGCCAATACGTCCATTGGATTACAAGAGATAGCCCCTGGAGAGTACGACGCCACGAGGGGAAGCCAAGCCTGCTTCAACCTGGTCAGCACATGACATCATCTGGCGTTGCCTGCCAACGCCTGCTCCGATCATTCATTCCAAGATCGCACCTGGTGTGCGCTGGCCTCCTTCACGGCCTCATCGTACCCAAGGGCGATGGCTTCCATGAACGAGTGAACCCGGCCCCACGATGGGCGAGGAGGTTCACTTCGTGGAAGTCCCGGGCAAGACTTCGAAGCTCGCTCGATTCATCAACGATTGTATCCCTGAGGCTGGCCAACGACGTGTTGCCATTCAGATCTGGATCCCATCTCGCCTGGTTCATGAAGTCCTGGAGAACGTGATGCAAACGTCGCCTTCCCATGGTAACTTGGACGCTAACATCTTGTTTCTTAGGCCAATAGAAAACATATACCCAATATGCTCTCAACGGTTCACTGCGAGAATTACCCTGGTTTTGTAATGAAAGCCCCGAGGGCGGCGGCAAGCTCCAGATCGGCGTCGTCTAGGGGCGCCTTCCAGGCCGGCCGAGTTTAAAACGTGCCAGGCTTTCCCAATAGCCTCATCGCGAGCACTTGCGACAGCTTGTTCAGCCAGAAAGGTTGCGGCATCCACTGCCGGGGTTGAGGCTTTGGTCCGATAGGTAAGGTAACTGGCATCTTAGCGTGCGAGCGGTACACCAACTGCCGAAGGTTAACTGCATCAGGGCCATGTCAACAACGACTGGCCTATGTGGTCGAATATGCCACTGCGCGCAAAAACTCCAGAGCTGCACACTAGTGCAACCCCAGAGCCCACGAGGAAGAAATCGATGACCGTTGAACAACTCGCCGATAAACACGTAGCGTGTGTATTCGCCAAGGTCAACATCCCAGGACGTCTCGGGAATCCTGACTCCTCCACAGGAGCAGTAGCCATATTCCAATCAGCGCCGAAGATAACATGCTCCTGGCAACTTTTCTGGATGCTCTGGCCGGCCTTGGCCATGATGTCAAGGTTTGACAAACTTCACCCCTGCGCCGTGAGGAAATATCCACGCCGAACATGCAAAAAGAGGCCATCCAAACAAATCGTCAACATTGAAATCAAACGGCCTGGCACGATATCGCCAGACCCCTCGGCATCCAGATTCCAGCGAAGACCAATATGATGACCTGCGAAAAAGGCCACCCCCGAGGATAGCTTCCCTTCCGGGTTGCGAACCGACGAACTGCATAACATATTCCATCCCAGACTTCTGGCTGCAGCGGTAGCCTGGCACAAAGTCCGGTGCGATCCCGATCTTCTGGGCGCAACATGCGATAGCTGTCGAAGCAACCAGCCTGGCCCTCAGAGTTGACCAGCACGAGCCGTTAAATGTCTCGAGCGAGTGTCCTGCAGGCGACTCAGAATTTGAACCCTGCGGGGCACCGCGATGCGCTGGGACGGCGAACTCAGAGCGGGAAATCTTCAAACTAGAGACCCGAGGCCAAAACTTATCCAGTAGGGTGTTACCTCTCTGCTGGCTGATGGCCCACCTCGACTCGTTTGACCCCCGCTGTGGCGAGAGCGTCAGAGACAGCTCGCTTGTCCCCCCCTCCCTGGGACTGAGAGCCTGAAAAATCTATTCAATATCCTCCTTCTCCAGGTCTTCAGCATCCTGATGCATGGGCGGCATCAGTGACAACTGTCCATAGTAGGCTGCAACCTTATGCGCGAATCGTACGCCTAGCTGTCTAGCTTCCAGGTGGGACAAGCCAATGTGTCAGTTGAGAGTTGTCTCGGGATGTAATTTGAAAAATGGACGTTGTCATCCGAATGGTTGGTATGCTTACGATGGCAAGTGACAGCTACACGAATGATAACTGACGAGTGTGCATAAGATATATATTCAAGTCTGCATGTCCTCATGTCATAACTGTGGGAACAGTGACTGGATGATAGCTGCACTTTGAACTGGTATGCCGATCGCAGACAACAGCCCAGTCTCAAAGAAATGTGTATTGCTTGTGCGTTTACGAAGTAAATTTCAGAGCTGTTTATGACACACAGACATGGCAAGGTTTCAAATGATAAGTGTAAATGCCACCACTTGAGACATGTATAGCTGTCAAGTGGGGCGCTTTGTCATACAAGTAGGAACAGCGTTCGTGTCTTGTGAGAGTTGCATCGCTCCTATGTGGACGTGTAAGTGCAATGTCTGAACGGCCGAGCTACCATATGATATGTGCATGGTTTCCACACGGGGGCCGTATAGGATTCACATGCGAATCATATAGCTGTCGGTCGGTGGTTCTACGCTTCTAACAAAACATTGTTTTATGAGGAGCGTAGATGCACTTGCCAAACGAGGGCGAGACACTTGTCACATGAAAACAAAGAGGCGGTCTCATGAGAACTCTACAGTTTCTCTTTTGGGAATGCTATAGAGTCAGACTGCACGTGCAATGGCATCACATGATAAAGGCAACTAAGGGCCATGTGGGAAGCATCCCGCTCCGCTTCTAGATGGGATATGAATATGTTCCGAATGCGAGGTTCCTTGATTTTCGTATTGGGCGTGCAGCTGTATCACATTATGAAACCTGCAAAATCTCCACACGGGGGCTGCATCCCTCAAAGAACTTGTAAAGATCTCTCAGGGGCCCTTGAAAGATCTCTCAAAAACACTGCAAGAATCTCTCAAGGGTCCCGTAAGGTTCTCTCAGAGGTCCCGTAACGGTCTCTCAGCGATCCCGTAAGGATCTCTCAAGGGTCCTGAAAGGATCTCTCAATGATCCTGTCAGGATCGTTCAGAAATCGTTCTTTACCAGACCGCTCGAGGCGGCTGGGATTGGTACCCAAATGGTTGAAGTCGGTTGGAAATCGTTGGGGTCCGTTCGACCTGGTTGTAAGTTGCTCCCGCTCTGGTCCAGGCCCCCCACGCCAACGTTCGATCGCTACCAGCACCCCGTGGGGGGCGGGGCCCGGGCACCGACCGCTGCGCGCAAGAGGATCCACTGTTTTGCGCCGCAGCGCGGGGCAGCCCGCACACGGTTGCAAGCAAGCTACTGCGAGTTGTCCTGAATGCAAGAGGGGGCGGCCAGACCCGCGTGAGAGCCCTGGCACGGCTGAACACTACAGTGGAAACCCATGCCAAGAAACACCCTGCTTGCTTCCAGGGTGCCCTGCGTTTCTTGGGTGTCGACGTGCCCACAACAAAAGTCGATCGACGCCCTGGGGTCTCAAGCGAATGATTCAAGAATAGTAAAGAATAGTGTGGTTCTCCTTGCCCTCCCCACCCCGATCGTACCGAGCGCAAGGCCCTGCCAAGGAAAAGGGGGTGCCCCCCCCCCCCCCCCCCCCCCGCGAGGCGACGGGCGCCCCTGGACCCCGCGGAGAGCCCCCCCCCCCCCAGGGGGACTCCAGGAGACGAACCCGGAGACGTCCAACGCCTCCTCGACCCTCGGCCCCCTCTTTCCCAAGAACCTCGACGTGTGTCGGGCAGCATGTCCTCCTACAGGCGGAGTTTGGAAGAAACGTTTTAAACATCAAAAGTATACGAGAATAGCAGAAACAAATACTCGAAACATCGTCCCTTGACTATTTTTGAAGATTCCTCTCTAGGAAAAGCCAGTGGCCCCCCTTCGGGCGATCCCCCCGCCCAACCAGATCTCGGAGAAGCAGTTGAATGATGGACGCCACCGCCTCCCACCTCCAATCCACGCAACAGAGACCCACCTCCACCTTGCAGGTACGCGTGAACAGCCGCAGGGGAGGAGGGAGGGAGGGAGGGAGGAAGAGGAGGAGGAGGAGGAGGAGGAGGAGGACGGATGACCAGTGCAAACCCGAGCATCATCAGTGATGCTGGCACTGCCCGACGGGCGGTCCTCCTCCCCGCGGGAGCTCGAGCGGGAGGACTCGCCCCCGGCGGACGCGGCCGCCGCGTCCTGGCGCGGAGGCGCGGAGAGAGCTGAAGGCCCCCCCCCGCTGCGCCACGGCCGCCTGCTTCTGTGACTGGCAGGGTTCGACTTGAGCAGCGCTTTTCGTTTTCGTCTTCTTTTCGTGTTCCCTCGTTTCGTCTTTCGTCCGCCCTTGCTGCGAAACGAAAACGGAACGAAGACGACCCAGGCGGAGGGAAGGGTTCTGCTTTGTCTTGGGTTCCACCCAGGATCGTCCGAGGACGCCCTCAGTATGCGAAGAGGACAGAATGGTAAACAGGGCAAGAGTGTCAAGGGCACAGCTGGACTGTTAACAACCGCAAATTCAGCGCGGGCAGCGACGCGCCCGAGCGTGAAGCACGTGCAGTAGAACGCTGTCCCTAGTCAAAAGGGATGGGGGACTGGGGTTAGGTCGGGCCTGTCCCCCTACAGGGGTATTTGGAAAAATGCCCAAACGATGCCCAAACATATGCAAACAATAGTCCCCAGACTACTTTTCACTATTCTTAAATATTCCACAGGACAAGCCCGACTTAAGACCAGGGGAGGGAAAAAGGGCACGACCTTTTCTGCATCGTGCCTTGACGATGGGAGACTGGCGCCCGCTTCCAGCCTCCGCGAGCCCTCGCCGAGCCCACAAAAGCCCTCCAGACACGGCTCGGGGATGGAAAGCCGGTCCACCGGAATGGGTTTGGACCTCGAACGGGGGATCCACATTTGTGGACGACTACTACTACTATTACCACGGCTACTACTACTACTCCTCCTCCTCCTCCTCCTCCTCCTCCTCCTACTACTACTACTACTACTACTACTACTACTACTTCTACTACTACTACTACTACTACTACTACTACTACTACTACTACAACTACTACTACTACTACTACTACTACTACTACTACTACTACTACTACTAGAACTACTACTATTATTACGACTACTACTACTACCACTAACACTACTACTACTACGACTACTACTACTACTACTACTACTACTACGACGACTACTACTACTACTACTACTACGACGACTGTTACTACTACTACTACTACTACTACTACTACTACGACGACTACTACTACGACTACGACTACGACTCCGACGACGACTACTATTACTACTACTACTTTGACTTCGACTACGACTACGACTACTATTACCACGACTACTACTACTGCTGCTACTACTACTACCACTACTACTACTACTACTACCACTACTACTACTACTACTACTACTACTACTACCACTACTACTACTCCTACTCCTACTCCTACTCCTACTCCTCCTACTCCTCCTACTACTACTACTACTACTACTACTACTACTACGACTACAACTACGCCTACGCCTACGACTACGACTACGACTGTGACTACGACTACGACTACGACCACGACCACGACCACGACTACGACTACGACTGCGAAGACTACTACGACTACGACTACGACTACGACTACTACTGCGACTACGACTACGACTACTACTACTACTACTACTACTACTACTATTACTATTACTATTACAACTACTACGACTACTACTACTACTACTACTACTACTACGACAACAACTACTACTACTACTACTTCCACTTCTACGACGACTACTACTACTACTACTACTAGCAGTAGTAGTAGTAGTGTAACTACTACTACTACTACTACTACTACGACGACTACTACGACGACTACTTCTACTACTGCTACTACTACTAGGACGACTACCACTACTACTGTTACTACTACTGTTACTACTACTACTACTACTACTACGACTACTACTACTACTACTACTACTACTACGACTACTACAACTACTACTACTACTGCTGCTACTCTACTGCTTTACTACTAATACTATGACGACCTACTTATGACGATACTACTACATGATTACTACTACTACTGCTACTACGACTAATACTACTACTAATACTACTACTACGTTCAACTACTACTACTACTACTACTACTCCTACTACTACTACTACGACTAGAATACGACTACGACTACGATACTACTACTACTACTACTACTACTACTACTTGCTAACTACTAGGACGACTACTCTTCCACTAATACTACTACTACTACTAACTACTCTACTTTACTACTACTTTACTACTACTTACTACGACTTTTACTACGACTACTACAACTACTACTACTACTACTGCTACTACTACTACTACTACTACTGCTACTACTAGTACTCCTACTACTACTACTACTATGACGACTACTACTACTATGACGACTACTACTACTATGATTACTACTACTACTACTACTACTACTGCTACTACGACTACTACTACTACTACTACTCTACTACTACTACTACTACTACTACTCTACTACTCTACTACTACTACTACTACTACTACTACTACTACTACTACTACTACTACTACTACTACTACTACTACGACTACTACTACTACGACTACGACTACGACTACGACTACTGGATTACGACGACTACTAGTACTAATACTACTACTACTAATAATAATAATAATTATCCTGGCGAAAGACCCAACCATAAGCAATTGTTGGTAACGCGTTGTGGGTGCCGCTTTCGGTGGGGCTCCATATGGGGCCACGAAGCGCTGCCTTGGATGGGGGAACCGCATGCGGACTGCGCCACCGGGGCGGGCCTTCGGTGGAGCTCCCTATGGGGCTACGAAACGCTGCCCTGGGTGGGGGAACCGCATGCGAACTGCGCCACTGGGGCCTTCGGTGGAGCTCCCTATGGTGCCACGAAACGCTGCCCTGGGTGGGGGAACCGCATGCGAACACCCCCACTGGGGCCTTCGGTGGAGCTCCCTATGGGGCCACGAAACGCTGCCCTGGGTGGGGGAACCGCATGCGAACACCCCCACTGGGGCCTTCGGTGGAGCTCCCTATGGGGCCACGAAACGCTGCCCTGGGTGGGGGAACCGCATGCGAACACCCCCACTGGGGCCTTCGGTGGAGCTCCCTATGGGGCCACGAAACGCTGCCCTGGGTGGGGGAACCGCATGCGAACACCCCCACTGGGGCCTTCGGTGGAGCTCCCTATGGGGCTACGAAACGCTGCCCTGGGTGGGGGAACCGCATGCGAACACCCCCACTGGGGCCTTCGGTGGAGCTCCCTATGGGGCCACGAAACGCTGCCCTGGGTGGGGGAACCGCATGCGAACACCCCCACTGGGGCCTTCGGTGGAGCTCCCTATGGGGCCACGAAACGCTGCCCTGGGTGGGGGAACCGCATGCGAACACCCCCACTGGGGCCTTCGGTGGAGCTCCCTATGGGGCTACGAAACGCTGCCCTGGGTGGGGGAACCGCATGCGAACACCCCCACTGGGGCCTTCGGTGGAGCTCCCTATGGGGCCACGAAACGCTGCCCTGGGTGGGGGAACCGCATGCGAACACCCCCACTGGGGCCTTCGGTGGAGCTCCCTATGGGGCACGAAACGCTGCCCTGGGTGGGGGAACCGCATGCGAACACCCCCACTGGGGCCTTCGGTGGAGCTCCCTATGGGGCCACGAAACGCTGCCCTGGGTGGGGGAACCGCATGCGAACACCCCCACTGGGGCCTTCGGTGGAGCTCCCTATGGAGGCATGCGAACCCTGGAGGGAGGAGGGCGAGGAGGAGGAGGAACGCGGGGCACCGTCTCTTCAAAACGAGGACCCAACACCACAGGATGGTTGGGAATAATATTACTAATAATAAAACTACTACTAATACTACTAATACGGCGACGAATGAAACAACAACGTCATACTCGTTGACCTCGCGCCAGAGCTGACATCCTACCTCTCCCGCCCACCCTTTCCCGCTGCGCTGGTTTGCCTATGTCCGCCGACGGCTGCCACAGCGGGCCCGCGGAACCCTCAAAGGGACACCATCGTGCTGTGCGCAGTCAGAGAGAAGGGAGCGCAGGAGGATGGGTAGGTGGCGGATGAGCAGGAGGATGGCCAGGAGGGAGAGGATGAAGATGAGGAGGAGGGAGAGGAAGAGGAGGATGAAGATGAGGCGGCTGAAGATGAGGAGGCTGAAGATGAGGATAAGAGAGGAAGAGGAGGAGCAGCAGCAGCAGCATGAGCAGGAGTAGGAGGGGCGGGAGGAGCAGGAGGACCAATGGAAGGCGGAGGAGGGGAAAGGAGCGGACGACGATGAAGGACTCGGATCGAGCACTGTGGCTCGCGCTGAGGCGAGAAGGCCAGCTTAGAGCAAAGCGTCGATGCTGAAACGAAGCAAGCGCTGCGGCGGGAAACGCCAGAAATGCCAGAAACGTTCGGATTGAACGAGCCATATTGAAGACCACCTTCTGGCATCCGATGCGCCAGAACGCGACAGGCGGGAGACATCCTACCACGACCGGGCTGGATCTGGGGCGAGCGGAGACTAGCATTCATATTACGTAGCTGTGGATCCATACACCATTGCATTCCGCCGTATTGCATCGAAGGCATGGCACGGGCCGGGCTCGGCCCCACGCAGGCCAGAGGAGGAATCGGCTCGCGTCGGACCAGACAAGACCGAGAGCATGATCGAAGCTAGGGCGGATCGGATCAGGTTGCGAGCAGGCCAGAAGGACGGGACACGCCGCGACGTTCTCTTCGGCCACGAAAATCCGCGCTCGGGGCCCCGAGCCAGATCGTGCCAGGGCGCCACTCGTCGAATGCGTGGAGGGCCGGTGCACGCAGCACACGAAAGCCTCCCTCTCGTTAGTCGTCCATCAAGTAACGATCGGCACCGGGAATGGATGATGTAGATGGGGAAGGATGGAGTACAAGGCATTTACATCGCAGTGAAAATACACAGTGCGCACTGGCAAATCGTGCGCGCGTACCGTCGGCATCCGAGCCCAAGTGGAAGTGGCGGAGGAATGATACTATACAAGCTGATCCTGCAACCACGCAAGATGGCCCCCTTTGAAATCGGGAGGGGGGAAGACAAAGAGAAGTAAGCATCCACCGAAAAACTCCTGCTTACGATTGTAGCGGCAGCGCCCGAAAGGAAAGGCTTCAAGCTCTTGGCCTGGCGCGCGCAACTTAAGGACATGCGTGGCCTGAGCAATTGCCCGGAATGGTAAATTCTGTGATATAGTTCAACGCGCCGTTTACGAACATGAAGGTAGGAGGAATACCCCCGCGATGATGGAGCGCAACATTCCTCCTTGGCCAACAACTGGATCAGCATCGCCTTTAAATTTGTTATTCCTCGTGTCAATCAGAGCAAACATGCGAGGTCAATCATAATTATGGGCGCGGTCGTCAAACAAGAGCATTGAGTTCCGTCACTCCTAATGCTGCGACGGTTCTGATTCACGAATCGGAGCGAAACTGCACGCCACGGCAACTCATGGCGTGAGTGGCTTGCGCAAGGAACAGCCGAAACACGACCACAAGAACGTGGGCCCAGAACACGAGCCCACTTCGCCGAAAGCCCACCACCACAAGGTTATGCGCAAGATGAACACCGCCCCGCGGCAAGGGCCCCAACACGAAGACCACGAGGGACCCCCTCCAGAGCCTATCTCTTCTCGACCCTCGCGCCAACCGTGCTCGCTTCTTCTGGGCGCCGGGCAGAAATCGCCCGAGGAGCGCTGGGCTGAAAATTCGACGCTCGAGACAGATGGGCACGATGCCCAACAGCGAGTGTTTCCCAACACCAGCAGCGGTCGCTGTTGCGCAAACGACTTCTTGTCGCGAATAGGTAAACGTCCGCGGCGACGAAGACAACGCACCCTGTGCAGTACGGGCAAGAGCTGATGTCGATATTCGTCGCCATCCGCGCCCACGTCGATCGTACGGAAAAATCGCGGGCACCGCCTGGCACGATGATGCTGGAGGGCAGCAGCTCAGCGCAGCGGGGGCCCTACGGAGCAGCAGTGGCGCCACCCACTTCCCCCGCGCCCGACGCCAACCGTCGAGATTACGCCGAAGAAGGGACCGCGAAGCAGCGGGGGTGCAGAGCACCATGGCCCGACGCACGCGCGCAGATCAGGGGGCGGGTCAGGGGACGTGCCGAAAGAGCAGGCCAAGAGATCGTGGAGATGTCATGTCCACAGTCATGATACCCCCCAACCCTCACCACCTACCTCGCTAACGCCCCCGTGAACTAGAACAGCCCGTCACCACTCCTGCCAGGTACGGGCATACCGGCTGCGTCAAGCTTTGGGTCGGGCATGTCCTCCTACAGGCGGATTTGGGGCGAGTGTTTTATCATTATTATTTTGTCTAAACAAACCCTGGCGACGTACCCAACCCCTGCACAGTGCAGGGCAGGATTAGCTTGGGAGATTTGAAGAAAGGCGACGACGTGACATGGACGCATCTACTTCTGCGAGCGGCATTCGGGAGGTTCGCAAGTTGCCGATCAAGGAAAAAAGCGTCGAACGCACCGGGCACATGAGGCACACCACAGTCACTAAACACACCAGGCACATCAGGGTTACGCGGCGCACCAAGCACACCAAAGACAAAACACGCACTGGCACACCAAGCATGCCAGGCTCACCAAGCACAGCAAATAACCACGGCACACGGGGCACATCGGGCACAACAAACGCATGCGGCCCACCAGGCCCACCAGAACACCGAACGCACTGGGCACACAACTCACACTAAAGGCACCAGACACACCAGGCACATCAGGGATACGCTGGATCCACCAGCAGCCCTCGAAGATGGCGACAATGTCGCAGATCGCAGCCCCCTAGGGACGGCGAAGTCCCGCTCATGTTTGCGCGGCGCCTCACTCTGTTGGACCCGCCAGCAGCCCTCGCAAATGGCGACGTCGTCGCAGATCGCGGCCCCCCAGGGACAGCGAGGTCCTGCTCAGGTCTGCGCGGTGCCTCACTCCGCTGGACCCACCAGCAGCCCTCGAAAGTGGCGACACTGTCGCAGATCGCAGCCCCCGAGGGACGGCGAGGTCCTGGACAGTTACCGAAGGGGAAGAGAAAGAAAGAGAGAGAGAGAGAGGGGAGAGAAAGAGAGCAAGAGAGAAAAGAGAAACAGAGAGAGAGAGAGAGTGAGAGAGAGAGAGACAGAGAGAGAGAGAGAGAGAGAAAAAAAAAAACAGCGAGAAGCAAGAGGCGGGAAGCGGGAGGAGGAGGAGGAGAGCAACCGCAGTGCTCTGTTCAAATCGAATACACAGCCAGGAAAATCGTTCCTTGACTACTTCCTATGTTTGAATATTCCTCCTGTGAAGGGACACGCCCGACTTAAGCCAAACCGCGCACCGCACCGCGGCCGAGTTCGCGGCCACCTTCCCCGCCCCGCTTCGGCACCACAGGGAACCACCCAGGAGCCCGAGTGACGTGCCCCCAGAGAACCCAACCGATGAGAAATTCCTGAAGGCAGGATCGACGAGCATCGAATCGGGAAATCCGTAGTCGAAATGTGCGTCCGTCTGGGCTGAACCGACACGGATCTGGCATGCGGATTTTGAAACAGCTGAGCTCATGTTTCAGCTCTCTGCTGTGGGGTTGCCGGGGTGGCTCCCCAGGTAGCGGGGCAGATGGGTGGGAGCTCGTGGGGTACACCCTTTCTCACCCCTCCGCAGTCCAGAATCTTGATAGCAGGGCAATTCTTAACGCGGCCGCTGCTTCTCAGCGCGCAGCTGCGCGCACTAGCGCGCGCTCGCGCACCCATGCGCGCGCCTAGTGCCTAGTGGGCGCTTTCGGGCCGCGGGAAGCTTCTGGGAGCTGCCCAGGCGCCTCCCTGTAGCTCAGGAGCTCCGAAACTGCTCTGCCCACGAGCCCAAGAATACCTGCTTAGGAGCTGCCTCGGCGCTGCCGCTGAGCTTCTGAAGCGGTGCCAAGGAGCTTGCAAATACCTGCGGCACACGTTTTGGGAACGAATAAATTAACGCATCTGGGACAAATTGCCGCCTCTTGGGCAGGGACCAACCGTCCCAACATTCCGGCCTACCACGACGTGCTCTTAGAGCAGAAACATGTTCTGAAAACGAAAGCACCTCTTTTACACCATAACGCCGATGCACCAAAACCAGGTAGTCTCATTCATCACTCGTGCAAAAAAACATCTCGCGCAAATCACAAAAGGCTCTTAACTCCCCCTGTGGTGGACCGCTTGGGCAAGCCACGACGCTTCGCCAGCGCGCGTTTTTCAGCCGCCCGCTGCTGGGATGCCTGCCGGGCAGCCGTGGAGAGGCACCTGGCCCGGCTCTGCCTGCCGGCCTCTTCCCCGAGCTTTTTTTTGCCTCTCTGTGAGGAGCTATCCTTGGGTCGGGCATGTCCTCCTACATTCGGCGGTGGACAAACCTCCCTTTCGTAAACCTCCCCTTGATGAAAACGGCCTGGGACCGAAACCGACGGACCTGGGCCCGCAAAAATGACGGCCGCGACGCCCTCTCGCGAACCGAAAACGGCCAATTCCTTAATCGACGTGTCAGAGTAAGAGGTCTGTCCACCCCCGATACAAGCGACTTTCCGGGAAGACGAGAAAAATCCGGCCCCGCCCCGAAGGAAGGGCCGCTCGTCTCCCTGGGCCCCGCTTCTGGCGCCCCCAGACGGGCCCTGCCGCGGGCCTCGGGGAGGCCGGTGAATCGAAGAAAAACGCCGAGATTTCGTTCATCGCGCCTACAGATCCGTGCGGCGACGGGCCGCGTGGCAACCTCGGGCATTCAGTGGCGCCCGCCTCCCAATGTTGCCACCGGGCGCGCAAGCCAAAACGATGGCGTATCAACAGCCTGGCCCCTAATGCGCGCCTGTGCACGCTGCCAACATTGGCGACTGTAACTGAATGGTCCTCTTTGGGCGATGCCGTCTGCAGGCAACTCATTCAAGATGATTGTCTTGTTGACTTTGTTCTAACTTATTTCCTGGCTGCGTAATCAAAACACTCCAACAAATTATCAAATTTGGCAAAAACCAAAAATCGTCCCCTTGACTATGTTTTTGACACTTTTTGCGTATCCCCCCTGTAGAGGGACACGCCCGAGATGACACTGGGGCCCCCAAAACCGTGTGGCGACGGGCCGCGTGGCAGCTTCGAAAAGAAACTAAAGAAAGAAACAAACAACAAACATAATAATAACAAAACAAAACTACATCGACCCGCGCGGCGCGTCGCCGCACGGCCTCTTGGGACCCCAGAAGCCCACGGTCGCCCCGAAACGGCCTCGGAGAGCGACCCCAGTCCCCAAACCAGGCGGTGGCCAGAGGGAGGAACAACGGCATAAACAGAAACAATTGGCGCTCCGCGCGGGTTTTGTGGATCCGCGCTGGGCCCCATCCGTGGCGCGCGGAGCGCGCCAAAGGCGGCGCCGTCGGGGGGGCGGCCCAGCGCGGATCCAGAATCCGCGCAGAGCGCAAACACAAATGTTTATGGCGTTTTTTCTTCTTCGAATGACCCCGAATCCCCACTGATTAACCACGCGGTGTGGTCACCGCGCTGCACGTGGGTTCCCGGGGAGCACACCACACCAACCTGAGCAGGGACCGACCGTCCTGGCATTCCTATGAGACCACCACGAAATGTTCTTAGACCGTTCTAATAACAAGAACGCCGAGCTTTTTCTTAGGACGCTAACCGGATGGGTTCAAAAACAAGACAGTCCCAACCAGAAGCGCTCTAAGAACCGTTCGCGCGACCCACAACAAACTCTTAGAACATTTTTCGGTGGGCCTATACCGGGGATGGACAAAACCCCCTTTAGCAAAACGTGGTTCAGTGAAAACGACCTCGGGCCCAAACCTGGCGGTCGCAAGCCTGGAAAATGACGGCCGCGGCGCCCTCCGGAGAACCGAAAACGGGCCATGCACCAACCGACGTGTCAGGGTGGGGGTTTGGGTCCACCCACGAGGATAGGCACGCCAGGACGCTTCGCCACTGCTCGACTGCACCTGGGCCCCCGGGGAGCACACCGCACCGACGGGGGGCCCGACGGAGAGGCGCGACGGTTTGGGGCGGCGAGCGGCCGCATAGAGGGGCGGCAGCAGGCGGTCCGCGTCGCGCTGCTCGCGCGGGTCGCGCGGCAGGGGAAGTGGCAGCTGTGCTGCCTGGCGGCGGAGTTCCGTCCCCGTCGTCCTCGTCCTCGTGCCGTTCCTGCTCCATTCCCTCCTCTCCGTAAGCCTCCCTCCCGCTGCTGTTGCTGCTGCTGCTACTCCTCCTTCTCCTCCTCCCTCCACTCCTCCCTCTCCCAAACAGACAGAACAGTTCCGGCCATCATCATCTGACCCTCCTGACATTCCTCGTGTCCTGCTCCTCCTCCGCAACCCCTGCTCGACCTCATCCCCCCGCCTCAGTCCCTACCCCCCATGCCTACTGACACCGGGAAGCAATGATGCGCATTGGCTTCACAATGTACGTAGAAGAGTCCACAAGCGAGGCCACGTGCAGCATGCCCAAGAGGGCCCAGGCGAGGAGACTACAAGATTTAGCGGGCAAAGGGCAGAAGTACATAAAACTGTCCGACGATCGGGGGCGCGGCCCAGGAATACTAGAAAATGTACACCCCAGCGTGCCACCGCAAGAGTAGAACCTTTGCAGCCGCCTGGGGGTGGCCGCCCCCGACGGCGGACAAATCGATCTGATGCCGTTCCACGCCCGCCAAAAGATTGCCACACTATAAGCGCAGAGAAGGCCAAGTACCTGGCAGACCACCCCGACCACAAGGAGCAAATGGAGCAGGCCTACTCGAGCGCAGGTGACAAGTACAGGATCACCCTGATCAGCGTCTCCGCGGTGGAGAACTGGTTCGACCCGAGCAGGGAACCGAGGTCCGCCAAGAAGCGCAGCGTGCTCCTTGTCCCCTGCGCAAGGCACTGCCGAGCGACATGAACCTCGAGGATGGCACCTGGCGGCGAGACGCCACCTGCGAGCGGAGCGATGGCGAGACGGAGCGCTCCCGGGCAGGCGAGCCCCTAGGAACACTGCTCAAGGGCCGGCGCAACGCTCTGCTCGAGTTCTCCGAAGCGGAACGCGCGAGGGTCTTCGAGGCCATCGGCGGTTGGAGGACGAGCTGCTGGCAAGCTGGACCATCGACTTCATCGAGCAGGAGCACGGCCAGAGCCTCGTGTTCGCAGACTGCCTCTCGGACCAGTGAACCGAGGCAGTGGCGCTGCGAGCGTGGCTCAATAATATCATCTACGCGCCTATGGCCCCCGACGTCACGAGCTTCTTGCAAGAGCCCGACGCCCGCGAGCACAGCCAGCCCAAGTCCAAGATCCGAGAGGTCAAGGCCGAGATGCACACTGGGCCATGGAGCAAGACTGGCTCCAGAAGGCCAAGGCCGAGCATCCCCGAGGCCCACGCCCGCTCCCGCGGGCAGAACGAGGACGCGGTGTCGCTCCACAGGACGCAAGCCAACCGGATGCTCGTGCTCCGGCCGGCAGAGCAAGGCGAGCTCAAGGTCGCCACGGGCATAGAGCCGTGGAGCTACTCCGCCGAGGCCGGCCGCGGCATCGAGAACAGCCTGGCGAGAAAGCGCCTCGAGGGCATCCAGAGCTGGCCCGAGGGCGTGCCGCCTGCGCCCGAGTGGGGCGTCCTCGACGGCGACTGCTGCCACAACGACGACTTGCCGAGGGGCAGCGAGGAGGGCGAAAAGCCATGCCTCCTGGAGCTCCGAGAGCTGGACCTCGAGCTCGCCGACGAGCAGGACATGCTCCAACCGCCAGAGGAGCGGAGCAGGGACATGCAGTCGCCGCGCGCCCAGGAGAACAGGATCAAGCTGAAACGGACAAATAAACGCAAGAACAGGTGGGCGCCCAAGTTCGCGGGCCAGTTCCTGGGCAAGCACGCTCGCAAGTCGCGGCGCGAGAGGGACAAGGCCAGCGGCGCGACCTCGATCGAGCACCCCGGCAGAGGAGCGGCCGAGGCGTAGCTCACAGGCAGGCCGCCGAAGGCGCGCGCGAGCTTCTCCAATAAGATCAAGCAGAAGAAGCAAGCGGAGAAGGACGCCAAGAAGCAGGACAGGGCCAAGCAGAAAGGCGGCCTCGAGGCTTGCGAGGGGGCCCCCTGGCACGGCAAGGTGGCGCGCGCCACCGAGAATGGCAACCGCGAGGGCAGGCGCGGCAGAGTGCGTGGCGTCTGGCGAGTCCTGGGCACCGAGAACGAGCACCGCCTGCGGGCCCTCGAGGTGGAGACCGCGGCGATCTCCCAGATCAGCGGCAGCGAGGCTTCGAGGGTCACGCGCAGTCGTTAGCTTCCGCCTGCTTCTGCCTGGGGCGGCGGAAGCAGGCGGAAGTTGGCAGACAGGAAAAGGAAGGAAAGCGGAAGCAGGCGGAAGCGACGCAAGACGCGGTAGCAGGCGGAAACAGGCAGGAGCAACGCGAAGCGGAAGCAGGCGGAAGGAAAGCGGAAGCAGGCGGAAGCTAACGAGCGCCTGCGAATCCCGAGCGCCACAAGTCACGATCGAGCAGGACTACAAGCTCCCCGAGCCGCAGAAACTCGACCGGCGCCAGAAAAGACACGCTCGCCGCACCGCGCTGGCCAAGGAGTACGCGATCATGAACTGCGAGCAGATCGTCGAGGGCGACCCCCTCGAGCTGGGCACGGCGCGCGCGCTGCTGGGCGAGATCGAGAAGCGAGTGGGCGCCCCCGACAACGTGCTGGTGGTCGAGCCCACGGTGGCCGTCGCCTGGGCTCGAGAGGGCCAAAGCGAGGACGCACCCGCCGCCCAGCAGCCCGAGGAGCAGAAGCGCTGGGCCGGAGAGGGTCGACAAGGCCCAGCGCGTGCTGGTCTGCGTGCACTCCGAGGCGCCCGCGCACTACACGTACCTCAAGGTCGGCGGTTGCTGCAATGCCCCCCCGCCCCAGGGTGCCTCCAGCGTTTCGCTCCAATTTGGAGCGGGTCCTGGAGGCGCCCTGGGCAGGGGGCACTTGCGGCAATTCCCCCCGGGTCACGAGGATCGACGGTAGCGGCGTCGAGGTGGACTACCTCGACGCCCTCAAGCAGCCGTCCGAGAACGCCAAGCAGGCCCGAAAGGGCCACATGCGAACTCACGCCTACACCCCACGATTTCTGAGGGGGAAGGTGGGGTTCACTGTGCTCGGGCGCTGCCGAACGAAATGTACGCCGCCCTCCTCGTCCTCAGAACTTGTGGGTCGAGTCCGCACGTGGCCTCCCAAGGCCGCCACGAGGATCCTCCGCAAGCTCGGCGCCATTGGCCCTGGCGAGCATTGCCCAGCACCGAGCAACAGACGGTACCAAGTGGATGGTTCGAGCTGCGGCCTCTGGGCAAGTCGCTGGATCGACCGCACCCTGCGCGAGATCCGAGGCGAGGGACGCCAAGAACCAGCAGCGCTCCACGCCGTGGTCGCTCGAGGGAACGAGTCCACCAGTAAACGCAAGGAGGCGAGCGACGACGACGTGGTGATGGCCAAGGCCAAGGCCAAGCACAAGTCCAAGCCTTGCACGGGCCCCGCGGCGGCCGAACCGAAGTACGCCACCTACGAGGAGGCTAGCGCCGCCGCCCAGCTTTGCACCAAGTGTCCCCCATGCAAGGACAACTCCAAAGGATGCCGTGCTTGCATGGGAGAACGGTTCGAAGTCCAGCGCAAGAAGGGCTTCTTGGACAGATCGGCCAAGGACATCTCTTGCACTGGCAAAATCTAGGCGCCCAGCCACGAGCCTCGAGATCGTTTGAGTCAGCCTTGTGTCCTGCGCCTCTGCGGGCAAGTAGCCACGAACCTCGGATCTCTTGGGTAATCTTTGTGTAGTGCGCCTCTGCGGGCAAGTAGCCACGAGACAATAGATCGCTCGAGTCAGGTTTCTGTCGTGCGCCTGGTTTAACCTCCTCCTCCTCCTCCTCCACCATCATCATCATCATCATCATCATCATCATCATCATCATCATCATCATCATCATCATCATCATCATCATCATCATAACTTACCTTCCCCGGGAAACTCCTTTATTATCCCCGCGGGAACCGCGCACTTTATTATCCGCGGGGGTATAGTATCGACCTTTAGTGTTATTTATCCAGTTGTCGGACGTGGTCGGGCGTCCCCCCAGGCGGATTTTGCACGAAAAATGGAAAAAACAAAAACAATCAACAAATACACCAACCTGGTCAAAAGCAGTGGGAAAATCGTCTCGTACTACTTTTTGACTATTTTTGAATTTTCATCCTAGAGCGATATGCCCGACTTAAACACTGGGCCAACACACGTCCTGGGGATCATTGCATGCTCCGGACATCCGATGTCAGGACTGTTCTCCGTGGGCGTGAACCAATGTGGTGGCGACACATGGGGGGGGGGGAAAGGCGCATCTTTCGGGCCCTCGCTGGCTCTCCCTGCATCGCCCCCCACTTGCGCGAGGCCCAGGACCTCTTGCTGTCGCTGGGACACCAGCCCCTGCATTTGTCGGCCCTGTGCGTGCTTACTTGTTATATCGGGGATGGACATACCCCCCTTTAGTAAAACGTGGTTTAGTGAAAACGACCTGAGGCCCAAACCTGGCGGGCGCGAACCTGGAAAATAGCGGCCACGGCGCCCTCTCGAGAACCGAAAACGGACAATTCACTAATCGACGTGTCACTGTTGGGGGTTGTGTCCACCCCCGATTGTTTCTTTCCTCGGTGACCCAAGACGCTCCTCGATGGCCCCCGCCGAGAAAATAAAGAGGCACACGTCCGAGCGATGCCGAGACCTCCGGAGTGCCGACCGTGCTCCCCAAGGCCTATAGGCCTCGGCGGAGAGGCGCCGCCCTCCTCGGTGCCAAGCGGGGCGCCGGTGGCGATGGCCTCGGGCCTGGGCTCCGCGGGCAAATAGGGGGCAAACAAACCTACCTCGCTTTTGACCACCCTCGCTTCCAAGAGATACCAAGCGATGCCAAACTACGGCCTGTACTGGTCAGGCCGCTTGACGAGGAGGCGCGTGGTATGACTTGGTTTTGCCTGGAAGCGAAAGCGGGGGAGGTAATTCACGCTCTGAGCAAAGTGCCTCCCGTTAGGAGGCAACTACTGGAAGGTCTCCGTCGGAAAGATCAAGGAGAATTAAGCCCCAGTTGGGAACCATTACGACGGAGTGGGTCTCTGATGAAGCGGGATCACGCGGGATTGAGCCGGACTTCTGACCAACGCAAAATCAAAATTTGACCTCCCAGGAGTTGCATCCCAACAAGGGTGTCGGAGAATTCCTGGGACGCAGCGCAGTGCGAGCGAAATCCGTCGCAGCCCAGCTCAAGGCGCAGCGACGGCACATGGGCTGCGACAGGGCTGGAGCTAAAAGATGCGTTTCATGATGGTTTCGTTTTGCTGTTCGTTTTGCTCCACCTGTTTTCCTGCACCTCCCTGCTAAACCGAAATCCAGCAAAACAGCGTTTAGGTCTAGCCCTGGGCTGCGAGAAGCAGCGGGTCTCACACGAGATGGCGCAGCGACCTTACGCGAAGGCTTACGCAGGCCGCTCGCGCGGCACGCCACACTGGAATCGAGGGCGCTCACGCGCGACCTTCCGCGGGCAACTTGAGCGCGAGGTGAATGAAGACGAACACGTTTTCCTCTTCGTCGCTCAAAAGAACACAACAGTGCGGATCCCTGCTCAAGGCAATGCAATGCACTTCTAAACTATGCAATTAAACATAAACTGCATCATATTGCAACAGGATAGCGACATGCAGCGCAAATCATTACGACGATAATAATCGAATCACACATCAACGCGTAACAAAGGGCAACACCACAAACATGCGAACATCGCAACCAATTTATACCATACCAAAACAATGCCGTGCACTGGAATGCAATGGAAAACAAAGACAACATAACGCACGTACCAGAACAAATCGATTAACGGGACATAGTTAAGTCGTAGCAGCGTCGCTTGCTGTCTTTGGCATTAAGAAGCTTGATTTCAATTAGAACTACACTTAAGCTTGACTTTCGTATCGATTAACTGGCCCTTGCTCAGCGAGATGACAACTTATGATGCACCAGCGTGGTGACATGAGCATGTTTCTGCAAATCTCGACCCCATCTTCCGCACATAATGCGCACCACAACGTTGACTCTCCCCCCGAGCCTATCTTTGGCGGCGCGCACATGGGGGGAGAGGGAGGGGGGAGGGCTTCTTAGAAGGAGGCTGCTTCTTGGAAGGCGCCGGCCTTGCAACTGCAGACAAGGCCCGCCGCTTCTGAGAAGCAGGGGTGTTTCTGAAAAGCCCTCCCCCTCTCCCCCTGCCCCCGTCTGCGCGTGGCCGACGGCCGATATCTCCTCCTCCTCCTCCTCCTCGTCCTCCTCCTCCTCGTCCTCCTCCTTCTCCTCGTCCTCCTCGTCCTCCGCCCCAGCTGCCTGCGGCAACGAAGAAGCCCGCTCGCTCAGCTGCACGCAGCCCGCCCGGATGTAGAGGCAGCGCTGCACGTCGCTGCCCGGGGACTCCAGCACCTCGACGGGGGGAGCTCGCCGGTCCAAAGGGCCGGAGGCGTGCGCTAAGATCTCCGGAACAAGAATGCAACACTTTTCCGTCTGATTCTTCTTCTGCGGCTTCCTCGACTTCTGCTTATCGCTATTGTTATTGATATTGCTATTATTATTGTAGTCCTTCTTCTTCTTCTTGTTCACGCGCGCGGAGCGGTCCCCGGGTTGTCTCCAGACGAAGACGGCCCCGAGCCATGCCAGTCACAGATGCCAGAGCACCCCCCATGGGCGGTCTTCTGGCCCTCGAGGTCGCCCCCAGGGAGCGCCCGAAGGGACCCCAAGGGAGCTCCAAGAGGGCCCCAGAGCCAAGATGAACGGGTGGAACGCCCCCAAGGGCCGACCACAATGGCGTTTTTAAAACGAAACAGCGCTGACAACAAATAAAAAAACGAGGCCCAGCATCTAAACTGGAAGTCTAAAACGAAGCCCGTGCCAAACGATAACGAAAGACGAAACGGGGCGTTCAAAACAACAACGAAACGACACAACAACGAAAAACAAAGCAAGAACCGAAACAAGGGCCCAAACAAGGCTAAACAGCGTTGTGGTCGGTCCTTGGACGCCCCAAGACTTCTCGAAGACAATCTCCTGAGAGCCTCAGGATAGCTCAAGATGTTCCCAGACGGTCCCAAGAGAGCCTCCAGAGGCTCAATCTCATGGATGTTCCAATTTGTTTCTGAGGGATTTTGACGTCGCGGCCTTTTCTGGCCTCTTGCTGCAGACGGCCCAAGAGGCCTCAAGATCGGCCCAAGACAGCCCGAGAGGTTCCCAGGACGGTCCCCGAACCGCCCAAGAAGGCCCCAAGGCGGCACAAGAGGCACCCCAAGAAGGAGCCACAGGCCCCCGAGGGACCCCAGGAGGGAGAATCCCAAGTCACACCTCGGACCCTTCCCCCAAAGGATGGCCTCCGAGACTGCTAGACGGTCCCAAAAGAGGTACCCCAGAGGCCCGCCCCCCCCACCCACGAGGCCTCAGTAGGCCCCCCAAACGCCCCCGCGGCGGCCCCACGTGGCTCCAAACATGCCCCGCGAGCGCGCAGGTGAAGTGTTGCACTGGCGGAATGGACAATATGGTAACAAACGGATAAGTGTTGGACTGGCGGTCCTCCTCCTCTTCTTATTATTGTGGTTGTTTGTAGTAGCAGTCGTCGTAGTAGTAGTAGCAGTAGCAGTAGTAGCAGTAGGTGTAGTAGGTGTAGCAGTAGTAGCAGTAGTAGTAGTAGTAGTAGTAGTAGTAGTAGTAAAAATAGTAGTAGTAGTAGTAGTAGTAGTAGTAGTAGTAGTAGTAGTAGCAGTAGTCGCAGTAGTTGTTGTAGTAGTAGTAGTAGTCGTAGTAGTAGTAGTAGTAGTAGTAGTAGTAGTAGTAGTTGTAGTAGTAGTAGTAGTAGTTGTAGTAGTAGTAGTAGTAGTAGTAGTAGTCGTAGTAGTAGTAGTAGTAGTAGTCGTAATAGTCCTAGTCGTAGTAGTCGTAGTCGTAGTAGCCGTAGTAGTCGTAGTAGTATTAGTAGTAGTAGTAGTAGTAGTAGTAGTAGTAGTCGTCGTCGTCATCGTAGTAGTAGTAGTAGTATAGTAGTAGTAGTAGTAGTAGTAGTAGTAGTAGTAGTAGTAGTAGTAGTAGTAGTAGTCGTAGTAGTCGTAGTAGTAGTAGTAGTCGTAGTAGTAGTAGTAGTAGTAGTAGTAGTAGTAGTAGTCATCGTAGTAAGTAGTAGTAGTAGTAGTAGTAGTAGTAGTAGTAGTAGTAGTCGTAGTAGTAGTAGTAGTAGTAGTAGTAGTAGTAGTAGTAGTAGTAGTAGTAGTAGTAGTAGTAGTAGTAGTCAGTCGTAGTAGTCGTAGTCGTAGTAGTAGTAGTAGTAGTAGTAGTAGTAGTAGTCGTAGTAGTCGTAGTAGTCGTAGTAGTCGTAGTAGTCGTAGTAGTCGTAGTAGTAGTAGTCGTAGTAGTAGTAGTAGTAGTAGTAGTAGTCGTCGTCGTCGTCGCCGCCGCCGCCGCCGCCGCCGTCGTAGTAGTAATAGTAGTAGGTAAGTGTTGGGCTGGTGCAATCCAACCAATGGCAACATGGGCTGGCGGAGTGAGCGAAACCACCGAATCCAGCGGGCCCCCTGCGGGCCCGCTCGTTGTCGACGTCGAGAGCAGATGATGAGATGAAAGTAGCATGCAGGATGCCGAGAAGCACGCGTAGAGCAAAGGCCTGCTGAGAGCGGGCTCGCGCATTTCGCCGGCCTCAGGGTGTTCTCAGGGGGTCATAAAAAGATACACGCGTGAACGGGGTGGGGTCCAGCGCTAGGCCCACGCGCGTGACAGCTCCTGGGGCACGTAAGACACGACTGTGGTGCGCCCTAAAGGCTGCGAAGGCCTCGCTCCTGTGCACCACTCACGCATTTCCTCTCTGACATTCTTCTGATCTGCGCTTCGAGGGCCACGAAGGGCTCGATTCTGACACCCCTCACGCATTTCCTGCCCCACAATCTTCAGGGACAGGCGGAAATACGAGTGATCTGCACTCTCAGGCCCCTGGGATACGTAGAACGACTATCGATCTAGGCATCGAGGCTCCTGGGGGAAACAAAAATATGAGAAACTTGCCCTTCCGTCCAGATGGGGACCTCAATTCGGCACACCACTCACGCACCTCGAGAATGTTGGGCGCTCAGCTGGTCCCCGAGACGGCTCCTTGGAGCATCAATTCGGCACACCCTTCAAACACGTTTTCCCCTACGGAACCCAAAAGGCCTTTAACTGGCCTCCGAGACCACCAAATCCCCCAAGGGGCGACAAACACGCCCCCGTGAAACATTGCAGCGATTGGTACCAACCCCTATTCGAGGCAATACCCCGAACGCCCACTGGTTGTAAAATCTGAACGCGAACTTCCCCCTGCCGTGACTCCAGCTCTGTGGGCTCAATGATCAAACAAATCAAACAACTCCACAGTGAGGGTAGCAGTAACAGGGGAGACGGAGCAGAGAGGACGGAGGAGAAAGGATGCGAAAGCGTGAGGACAGGGTGGACTGTCTGACTGAATGACTCGCCCTTGGCGTGCCGGGTGACTGCACTGCACGGGACAATATGATGCCCAAACGCCCGAACTCCCCCTTGCGGAAATTTAAATGTAAAGGTTTGTAGATACCATGACAATGGACACCCTAACAATCCGATCATTGAAATAAAGATGTGTTTAAAATGTGTAAAAACATGTTCTGAACATGTTTCAAACATGTACTTTGTATAATTAAAACTTGTGTTAAACATCTTTGAGACATCTGGCAATTGTTTGGCAGCATGCTTCCTCTCCATTAATCGACTTCCGCAAATCAAGGTCCAATGCATGTCTTCGATGGACGGGAACAGGGTCGTCGGTATCTGCAAGCGGTGGCTCGGTGGCGTGTGGACCCCCGTGCGGTCTCCAATCTGGTCTCCAATCTGGTCTCCCATATGGCCTGCCATATGATCTCCCGTGTGGTCCCCCGTATGGCCTCAACTATGGACTCCCGTAGTCGGACTTCATTGGAGAGGACACGCGAGAGGACACAAGACCCTTCCGAGGGCCACATTGCCACATGAATATAGAATGTAGGAAGCATGAGTCGCGAGGCACAGGACACAAGGGTACCCTTGAGCTGGCAGGGTCGACCTACTAATCTGGGCCGACTGTATTGTCTCTTGCAACATCACCCGGATGGTTTTTCTTTGATTTTCGTTATGGTCTCCCCACATGGTGGTCCTTCTACTATCTTCTATGGCTCCCCGCATGGTCACCCGCTCGGTTTTCGTCAAGTATCCCCTGTGGTATCCTTTGTGATATCTCTTGATGGTTTACCGTCTTGCATGGCCTCCCCAATAGTCTTCCGTATTGCATGTGGTATTGTATCACGCATGCTCTCTGTGCGAAAATCACTGCTATCGTGTGTTATGCCCTATGGTTGCCATTTCTGGCATCCCTGTGTGTGTGTGTGTGTTCGCTTTTTGTCTGGTCCCGCGTAGTGTTGTCCTTATGGCCTCCCGTGTGGCATTTACCTGTGGCATATTTTCAAATACGCCCTGGCGTACTCTTATCGACTGCGGACGCGTAAACCCTTCACTTGTCATAAACCCTCTGGGCATTGCTCTCTTCATTACTGTAAACGTGCTGCAAGGTCCGTCCCAACGAACAAGCCAGCCTACCGCAAAAACCTCGCGTCGGCCCTGGAGCTTCGAGAGCACGGGGGGGATCCCTTCGAAGCCGTAGGTCCGATGCACAACAGCGGGCCAGCCGCCGAGGTGACGTTAAAATCATGCACGCCAAGCTCACCAGGCACCGCAGGCAAGACGGCGAGACAACAACAGATGAAGTATGGACCTCATGGGTATCTGCTGCCGTCTGACACCCTCGGTCCTAAATTACCTCGGGACGTAACCCGACGCATCTGCATCAGGTGGCCAGAACGGGTGGTCCAGGTTGTGATGGATGACGACCGCGCGCGAAATGCCAATGCGCTGCGAAGGCCACATGAGATGTCCGCGCGTTGCGCGACTCATAGGGCAACAACAGAAGGACGAGGGGCGAGGCTCCATGCCAGAAGGGGGAAGAAGCGAGAACGAGAGGGAGAATGAGGACGGACGGGTGAAGCGACAAAGGACAGTCAGTGCGGCAACAGCAGGAACAGCAGGGGGAAGGATGACGAGGACGACGAGGTAGAAGGGACGGGTGTGGACGGTGGTGATTTCTCCAGTGGCTCGCTGGTGGGCATCGACGCCAATGCCACCTCCCTTTGGCACCCCGAAAGGGGGGATCTTCGAAATTCAATCACAATAGAATTAGTGAAACGAGCCGAAACGGCCGAACCGAACCAGACCGAATCGAACCAGCGTGGACCGGCAATTCCAGCACGAGCCGAACCGAACCGGTTTTGCTGACAACCCGAACTGCACTGAACCACTTCAAAACTTGACGCCAGCCCGCAAAGAACCTCACCGAACCGGAACGAGCGCGGGTGCGCATCCCCTGGTGCGCACCCTCGGGCCCGGAACCCTCGGTGTGCACACCCCGTCGCGCACCCTCTGGTGCGCCCCCCCCGGTCCGCATCCCCCCTCCTTCTCCCTCCTCCTCCTCCTCCTCCTCCTCCTACTACTACTACTACGACTCCTACTCCTACTCCTACTCCTCTTCTTCCTGCTCCTCCTCCTCCTCCTCATTCCTCCCTCCTCCCTCCTCCCTCGTAGCTCCTCCCTCCCTCCTCTCTCCTCCCTCCTCCCTCCTCCCTCCTTCCTCCCTGTTCCCTGCTCCTCCTCCTCCTCCTCCTCCTCCTCCTCCTCCTTCTCCTCCCCTCAAGGCCGTCGCACCTCGCCAGGGGGGTGGAAGACCATGTCGCACAGCTCGCACACGTCCACCAGGAGGTCGCGGGGCAGCTCCGCGAGCAGCCGGTGGCTGGCCAGGCAGTTTCCTGAGCAGGAGAGGGAGTAGGAGGAGGAGGAGGAGGAGGAGGAGGAGGAACAGGAGGAGGAGGAGGAAGGAGGAGGAGGAGGAGGAGAGGGAGGAGGAGGATGAGGAGGAGGAAGGAGGAGAGGAGGGAGGAGGAGGAGGAGGAGGAGAAGGAGCCGCAGGAGGAGGGGGAGGGGAGGAGGGAGGAGGGCGGAGGATGGGGGAGGCCGGGGAGGAGGGCGAGGAGGAGGATGAGGGAAGGGGGGAGGGGAGAAGGAGGTGGAGGAGGAGGAGGAGGCGGAGGAGGAGGAGGATCAGGAGGAGGAGGAGGAGGAGGAGGAGGAGCAGCAGGAGGAGGAAGAGGAGGAGGAGGAGAGGCAGGAGGAGGAGGAAGAGCAGCAGGAGGCGGGGAGGGGGGGAGGAGGGAGGAGGAGGGGGAGGAGGGGAGGGAGGGAGGGGGAGGAGGGCGAGGCGAAGGAGGAGGAGGAGGAGGAGGAGGAGGAGGAGGAGGAGGAGGAGGAGGGGGAGTGGGAGGAAGAGGGGGCAGGGTGAGGAGGAGGAAGACTCTGGCCGCATCGCTCCTTGTAAAAAGCAAGGGAGGTTAAGCTGTCGTGTCCGCCTCAGATTGTAGTGCAGCGTGAGGAGGAGGAAGAGGAGGAGGAGGAGAAAGACGGGGACAAGGAGGAGAAGGAGGAAGAGAAGGAGAAGGAGGAGAGGAGGAGGTGAGGCGAGGCGAGGCGAGGCGAGGCGAGGCGAGGCGAGGCGAGACGCGCAGAAACGTCCTACCCCCCCTCCCCCTCCCCCTCCTTCCCCCTCACCTCCACAATTACTCAATATGAATACTACTCTCCCTCTTCCCCTGATGATGTGCTGGGAGTGTTCGACCCTCCCCCTGCGTACTGTTTTTTTACACACAGAATTCCCGGGAGTTGGGTGTTCGCTTGCATTTTTTTCAAAATGCTGCTCTCGCTGAGGCGCCGGCCTCATTTTCGGGCCCCGCTCGTTCCGAATCGTGCTCCCGCTGCAGCGCTGGCCTCATTTCCGTGTTTCCGCTCGTTCCGAATCGTGCTCCCGCTGCAGCGCTGGCCTCATTTCCGCGCTTCCGCTCGTTTCGACTCGTGCTCCCGCTGCAGCGCTGGCGTCATTTCCCGTGCCATGCCACGGCATGCAATGCAATGCTAGGTTGATACTACGCTTTGCGGTGCTCTTCTACGCCATGCCATGCCGTGCTCTACAATGCATCGCGTACCCTTTCGGGATCATTGCCCTGCTCGACATCCGACTGTGCGAGTGGAGAGGGGATCTACGCCATGGTAAGGGATGGGAGGGAGGGGTAGGATGTCAGATATGACGCGAGCGCACCTAGCTTGCCCCCTCCCCCTCCCCCTCCCCTCCCCCTCCCCTCCCCCTCCCCCTCCCCCTCCCCCTCCTCCTCCTCTCCTCCTCCTCCTCCTCCTCCTCCCCCTCCTCCCCCTCCTCCTCCTCCTCCTCCTCCTCCTCCTCCTCCTCCTCCTCCTCCTCCTCCTCCTCCTGCCAGAGGGCAGGTCGCGGCTCCTGTCAGGGCGAGGTTGAGTTCGGCGCGCAGCAGCTTCGACTTCTTGATCCAGTCAATGAGCTGCCCCTTCATGTCTTCGCGGTCCTTTCGGCGGCACTGGGGGGGAGGGGGAGGGCCAGGGCCAGGAGGGCTGCCCGGCGCAGAGGGCTGTTGTGCACCACCAGCAAGCCTGGCCGGGGCCATCCTGCGCCCCAGCGTGGCGCTTTCTGCTGAGGAGGCTGACTTCTAAGAAGGCACGGGGGAGTCTTTTTTGTGGCTGCTGGCGACAGGCTGCACGATGCTTCGACGCCCTCGGCCGGAGGCCGAGAAAATAGTCCAGAGTGAAGAAGAAGCCGGCCAAGAATCGCCTAAAGGCACGGGGGAGTCTCGGACAGGTCCTGCCTCTCTCAGAAGGCTTCTTCGAAGGCTCGAGAGCTGCTTGGAGGCGAGGGCGCCAGCTCTCGGAGATCTTCTGTGCGGGCAATATTTATATCCATATCCAGTGCGTCTTGGACTTTCTTGGAAGGGGCGCCGCAAGGCCGAGGCGCACTGGATATGGATAAAAATTGAGCCTTTTGGAGGCATATTATAATCCATATCCCGTGCGCCTCATGTTTCTTGGGAAGAGAGTCCGAAATTCCAAGACGCACTGATGTGGATAAAGACATTGCCCGCATTCTGACTCGGGTCAATCCAGACCCGGGTCAGCAGGAACAAACACTGCAACGCAGGTCTTCGCAAACCCGGGTCAGCCAATAGGCGCGGCCGCCTCGCAGCCACGAGCGGCTCCCTAACCCGGGTCAGCCAGATGGGGTCTTCGCAAGATCCTGCAGGATCCGGTGCCGTGGCTGACCCCCGTCTGCATTGACCCCCGTCTCGAGGCACCCGATTCTCATTCTTCTGCGCGCCGCTGGTCCTTGTTGTCGAAGAACTGCTTCAGGTACACGTGCACGCGGGCCTGGAGGTCGGTGGGCACGCCGTACCACTTCATAAACTTGGAGGCGCTGGTGAGGCGCTCGTTGGTCTCCGCCGAACGTTCGCCGAGCTTCGCGATGAACTGTGCGACTCCGTTCACCACCACGCCGACCACGATGCTCGTGATGATCATGATGAGCATGAGCAGCACCCGCTCGCTGGCCAGGCGGGCGGCGATGTCGCCCAGCCCGACGGTGGACATCACGGTGACGGAGAAGTACATGGCGCACACGTACCTCTCGAACACTGAGATCTCCCCTAGCAGCACGCCGTCGCCCACCTCGGGAAGGCCGTCCACGATCCACGAGCTCACCGAGGGGTCGCGCTCGAGGTTCCGGCGCCCGACGAGCCACAGGAGGCAGGCGCTGCAGTGCGATATGAGGATGGGCAGCAAGAACAGCTTGGCCAGCCACATGACGGACGTGAAAAGCGGGGACTTGAGGTGCGCCTCCAGCCGCCGCACATCCTCCTGGATCTTGCCCAGCCTGAGCAGGCGAAGTGGCATCGTCGCGTTCAGGTACAGAAGCTCTGGGCCTCCGCTGTACAGCACCACTCGGTAGGCGATCGCGGGCACGGTCGCCACGAAGTCAACGGGGAACCAACCGGCGGCGTAGTGCTTCAGGATCGCCCTGGAGTCCGTCTGTAGCACCTGCATCGAAGTGTAGAAGCCAGTGGTGAAGTTCAGGAGCATGTCTGCGAGAAAGAAGAAATCCACGACGGCCAGCACGATGCTACCTGAAGACAGGAGCGGGTCCTCGAGGTCTGCTGCGCTCAGGAAGGCGATCTGGAAGGGCAGATAAACCAGCTGGACGGCCATGCAGCAGTGGTAGGTGGCGTCCCAGCAGCGACGCGCGGTGGAATTCGGGTCCAAGAACGGCCACTCGAGGTGCTTCAGCAGATGCCCGCGCCGACGGAGCAGCGGGGCAACCTGAAGGAAGGAACACTACAAGAACCATAAACTGTTGGCGCTCCGCGCGGATCTCTTAGACCTGCGCTGGACCCCCCCTCTCTGGCGCGCGGAGCGCGCGCCAGAGGCGGCGTCTGAGGCGCCACGGGGGGGGGGCCCAGGAACCCGCGCGGAGCGCCACAAAAGTTTATGGTCGTAATGTTTGCCCCTCCTCGAGACCTGCTGCGGGGTCAGCAGCACGGCGTTCCTCCGGTTCTGCGGGTCCCATGGGTCGAGCGCCTCCTCGTCCGCGGGCCGTCGGAGCAGCTCCGCGATGCCCTGGGTGACGCCCCGCTCGAGCCTCGCGGCCTTCGGGTCGCCCGCGCCCGAGCGAGTCGTGGCCGACTGCGACCTGGGGCTGCTGGCAGACGAGGGCGACGTGGGGCTGGCGCTGCCGACCGCTGTGGGCGGCGGCTGCCGGAGGCGGGCACCGCCCAGCGGCTCCACGGGGCGCGCCCCCCCCGCGTCCCAGCGGGAGTCCCTCTCCAGCGCGGAGTGCTCGGACTGCTGCGAGCCGCGGCCCACCGCGATGTCGCGCACCTTGCGGGGGCGCGCCAGCACGGATTAGGGATCCAAGGACTTGGCGCGCGGTCGCCAAATCCATGGATCGGGGGAGGGGTGCCCTCCCCAAAACGCGGCCGGTGCCGCCGTGCTCGGCGGCGGAAATCCGCGATTTCCAGTAGAAACGGGACCCGTCGCTCATCCACGCCCCCTTGATCCATGTGTCGGCGGCGACGATTGGGGCGAATGGCCCAGGGGCGGGCATTAATTACACGTATTCGCCCGGGAGCCTTTTCGAAGACATAGATCATCGGCGCACCTGAATACATGTATTGGTCTCCCCTGGGCTCTTCGCCCTCGTCGTCGCCTCTGGATGTCAGCGATCGCCCGAGGACCCTGCTCGTGAAGTGCGTGAAGCTGGCCACGCTGAAGATGGAGCTGCGCCTCGAGCCGGCCGAGATGCTGCTGCAGGCGCTCCCCCGGCGGCTGCTGCCTCAGGAGCGGCCAAGAGGGGGGTGTCCAAGAGGGGGGGGGTGCAAATCATGACCGGCGGCATGTGCGCGGCCCAGCGGGGGGGCCAGGGGCGTAACGAAACAAGACGAAGCGCCGTGAAATCAGGGGAGATATCATGGCCCACGCCATGATATCCACCCCCCCCTAGTCACCACCCCCCTCTTTTCCGCCCCCGACTGCCGCGCCGCCCCGGGCCGAGCAAGAACGGGGCGCCCGTCAGCCGCCCCCGGCTGCTCCGGCAGCCCGGCGTGCAGCTGGGCGCGTGACCCGACGGCGGCTGGCCCACCGCGCCGGGGGCCGCCCTCGTCGACGCGAGCAGCACCGAGATCCTCGGCGCGGAGGAGGCGTCGAGGCCCTGGGCCGCGGCGTCCTCCTCCGCCTCGCCGGCCGAGAAGGGGTGCAGCGGCCGCAGCTCTGGTATGGGCAGGTGTGGCACCATGCCCTCCAGCGACCTGCAGGAGCGCGACGGCCCAGGGGGTGGCCGCACGGGCGGCCCTGGCGCTGGCGGCCCCTGCAGGGCTCCCGAGCCAGATCGCGCCGGCTCTGCCAGGCGCGCTGTGCCTGCAGCCATCTCGGAAGCAGATGAGCTCGCTGATGGCGCAAGCGCCTCCGCAGCCACTGCGAAGGCGGCTGCGGGCGCGTCGCGCGGCCACGCCGCGACGGGGGCTTTGTGGAGCTCCTCTGCTGCGCCCGCGGCGTGGGGGGCGGCGAGCGCGAGGGCCCTGGACTCGGAGGCGCCGCCCGCCTTGCTGTGCCAAAGCCCGCCACCGGCCACTCCGCAGTCGGCCACTCCGCAGTCGCTGGTGCCTGGCGGGCTGGCCACGGGTGCTGCGGAGGTGACTGAGCGGCCGGAGTGCCTGCCGCCTGCACGACCGCCGTCCGCGGGAGGCCACAGCGTGGAACCGTATCCGCTGCCGGCGCTGCCGACGCTGCCGCCGCTGCCGCGGGGCGACGGGGTGACCACCACCGTGCGCCCAGGCCACGCGCCCTGGCGTTGCCGCGGAGACTCATGTCCGCCCCGCGCGTGCAACGCGGGCGCCGCCACGCCCGCGACCGCGCTGCGGAGGTTCCCGACGGAGGTGCGGCCACTGGACCGCCTTCCGCCCGCGCCCCCGCTGCGCGGCGGCAGGAGGTCATCCAAAGCCTCCTTCATGCTCGCCCGAAGCAGCGGCGGCACCGAATCCTGGAGCTCCGCGCGCACCGCCTCGCCCACCGTCTCCCGCACGGCTGCCACAAACGCCGCCGTGCCGAAATTCAGCGCCGCAGCCTGGCCAAAGACATCCTTCGGCCACACGCAAGGGTGACCCCATGCAAGAGTGAACTTTGGTGCGCGGCTTTCGAGGGGGCGGCTGTGGCTGAGGCTGAGGCTGAAGCTGCGCCCATAGCATACCAGGGGGGCGGCCCTAGGCGGGGCTGGGCGGTGTGGAGGCCAGACCCGCACGCGCAAGCCGCTGCTATTCGAACTCAGCGCCCTGTGGGCCCCCGGCGTGCCCGCACCAAAAGGTCACCCTGGCGCAAGGTCACTCTTGCGTGTGGCCGACTCCTCCGCGTCCGACTCGTAGCACGCGCCGCCCGGCAGCCCCGCGTCCATGCTCTTCGTGAGCTGTGCCCCCCCCCGCCCCCTGCGTTGCCGGCCCTCCCTCCGCGCGGGCCCCGCCCGCGTGGGCGCGCCCCCCCGAACGGCCTGGCTGGGCGAGGAGCGCTGACGCGGGGCGACGTGGCGGGGGGAGCGCAAAGCATGGACGAGCGAGGCGATCCCTTGTCCTCTTTTTGCTTCTCATCCTCCTGCTTCTCCTCCTCGTCACCATCCCTCTCCTCCTCCTCGTCCACAGATCCAATCCTCCTCCTCCTCCTCCTCCTCCTCCTCCTCCTCCTCCTCCTCCTCATCCTCCTCCTCGTCCGCTTTTTCCTCCTCCTCTTTTTCTTCCTCCTCCTCCCATTCCTCCTCCTCCTCTTCCAAAACGTCCCCCCGTTCTCTCTTGTGAGGACGGGTGCGTTTAGACCCATTACCCTCGGCTTGGCCGTGCTCACATGAAGAACGACGCGCGCGGACACAAAAGTATGACCCCAATGCAAGTCACCGTCGCTGGCTATTCACAAGACGACTGCGGATTTAATTGTCTTCGGCGTCGCCCCCGTCGCCACCAACGTCGTCATCATCGGGGCATCTCCTGCCCTTCCTACGATCAACACATCACGGCTTCACCATCTTCTGCAGGCAACACCACGGCCAAACATTGCCAGCTGAGCAAATATCCTGGATTACGGGGGACAGCATACCTTGAGGGGCGTGTCGCTGGAAAGACGATTTTCAAACACTCGACGCACTGGCTGCTGCCTTGCATCGGCAAGTCAAACGGCAAGTCAGAAACAGAACCCAGAGTTCAACATGCTAGCTGTACGTCGAAGATACACGACTGAATTCATGGTTGTTGGGACCTTCGAAGCCCAACACGAATGAACAACAATCGCAAAGTGATACCCATACCCCTGCTGGCGAGCAGCCCATGTATGGTCAAAAAGGGGGCACACATGTGAACCCATGCAGTGGAACCCTCTGTGGCACCCGCAGTGGGCCACAGCAGTAGGAGCACGGTAATTTTTCGACCGACGAGTTACCGAAATTGGCCCCAGCAGGCGGTCGCCTCCGCGGATTGCCGCAACCGAGCGGACACCAATAGAATAGTATAATCGGGCCGCATGGACGTCGACCTGCGTCCGTGATCTTTGCAACGCCAGGCAGGTTACCGTCCGATGGCTCTCGAGACCGTCCGCCATCCGCTTGGATGCCAACCAAAGCGACGGGAAACACGTATATCCGCCGACCCCAAAGGCGTGTGCGGACGAATTGGGGAGTCCGACCTGGACCTCCCGTCCTGACTTCCCCCCTTACCCCCACCACGCCCGACCTGTTGCAGCCTCGGGGCACGGGTTCTTCGGGGCCACCTGGCCTCCAAAAACTCAACCCAGACCTCCCACCCTACCCCCCTCCCTGGCCCACTCTGACCCGCACCACGCCCGACACCCCCAGCCTCCTGCAGCCTCTGGGCATTGGCTCTCAGGAGCACCACCCTGCAAAAATCCCCACGTCTCCAGCGCACTCTTTGGAAACACTTTTGTTGGGACCACCCCCACCCCGCAGGGCCCAGGGTTTGGAGGTGCCGATGCTCCCTCCGGAACCGTCTGCTTCATGGCGACAGGCGCGGGCCCGCGCGGCCCCTGCTGCTGGCAGCGCGCACCACGGGGTGGAGGGAGGGGGGGAGGGTTCTCTTTCGAGTAGGGGATCGACTACAGAATTGATTTGCCCCAGAATTGATTTTTCTTGTCGAATCCACGGGCAACTCGTAGAACTTTCGCAAATCTACGAAAAGTTGACGTGTTGTTGCTGAAGAGTCGACATGAAAATCAATTTTAGGGTAAATAAATTCTGTAGTCGATCCCCCAGTCGATTCTTGGACAGAGGATGCTTCGCAGAAGGCGCCGACCCCTACAGCTATACGACGCCAGGCTGGCGCCCTCTGAGAAGCAGGGGGTGCTTCTCAGAAGCCCTCCCCCCTCCCCCTACCCCCCCTACCCCAAACCCCCGACGTGATTTCTGTTTCGCAACGTCGGCCCCCGGAAATCTGGACCCTTTCGCAGGACCGGCTGCTCATCCTGAATCGTTTCTGTTACACTCCCGAGGCCAGGGAAGGGCCCCCGGCGGCCGAGAATGGCGAACAAAAACTCCTGCGCCGTGATTTTCTATCACAGCGCGAGGGGGCCTGTGCCCGCGCGCGGCCCCCCGGACCTCTCCCGAGGTGCGAATCCCGGGGGGGGCGACGAGGGCCTCCCATGGAGGAGATCCCAAAAGAGGGGACCACGGGCGAAGGGCAGCGGCATGGGCAGCTTTTCCTCCTCTGACCTCGCGTCGCCTGGCCTGCGCGCGGCGGATATAGGGCGACGAAATCTATACATATCCACTGCTCCCTGGCCAGGCCCATCCTCAACCCCGCAGCGGTGTATACGCCACGCCCTCCTGGCTTGGCCAGGAGGGCGCATACACAGCTCCTGGGTTCAAGATGGGCATGGTCAGGGAGCAGTGGATATGTATAGATTTCGTCGCCCGAGGATGCTGGCCTCACGTCGCCTGGCCGCGCTCGCACAGCACGCAGTGCAGCTGCGGCTCCGGGAGCCCAGGCGGGCAGGGGCTTCATGCACTCCGGCGGCGAGCACCGGAGGCACCCGCAGCGCCCGCAGTTCCTGAAGGGGGAGGAGGAGGGGAGGAGGAGGGGGGGGGGGAGGGAGGAGGAGGAGGAGGAGGGGGAGGAGGAGGAGCAGAGGAGGAGGAGGAGGAGAGGAGGGAGGAGGGAGGAAGGAGGAGGAGGAGGGGACGGGGAGGGGGAGGAGGGGGAGGAGGGGGAGGAGGGGGAAGGAGGGGGAGGGGAGGAGAGGAGGAGGAGGAGGGAGGAGGAGGAGGAGGAGAGGGGGAGGAGGAGAGGGCAGGAGGAGGAGAGGGGGGAAGGGGGGGGTAGGGGGAGAAGGAGGGGGAGGAGGAGGAGGAGGAGGAGGAGGAGGAGGAGGAGGAGGAGGAGGAGGAGGAGGCGAGGCGCGAGCGCACCCGGCTTGCTCTGTGTGTCCCTCTCCATCCCTCCCTCCCTCTCTGCTGCAAGAGGCCGGCGCGCCCCAGAGGATGCCCCACGGCAAGGAGTGCTCCTGGCACTGCTGGGGAGGCAGGGCCCTGTTCAGCTAACCCAGAGATCCAACGCATTGAAAAAATCTAGACTGAGGGTTTATGTTTCGGTCTCTAGGGGCCCTCGCTGGGCCTCGGGACCATCAAAAAACGACTCAGGATGAAAAACTCGTCCTGGGGAATGGGTCGAGACTTCCAGGGACCCCGTATTGAAAAAACACGACATCGGCTCTCTGGGACGCGCGGGAGTGGCCGAAGACTGAACGCAGAAGCGTCGTTTCGATCTCGGTCGCCGGCGATCGTGGCCAACGCCAGTTCGTTGATCGCCGTCGCGAGTCGGCGACGGCAGACGTGGACCATGACCAAGATCGGCGTCGGCACAATCACGCGGGATCTTTTGAGCAGGGACCGACAGTCCCAGCATTCCTATAGACCTACCACGACATGTCAATGGAACCCAAAAGTATTCCAATACCTAAACAATGTTCTTAGAGCATTGATTGAACCGATGTGTGAAGACACCGCAGCCCCTGCCAGGAGTGTTCTAAGAACATGTCGTGCAGACTTCAACAGGTTCTTGGGACACTCTCTGGTAGGCCCATCGGCAAAACAGGACGCTCCTCCACTGCTTGAGACGTGGACCATGACCGAGACCGACATCGGCACGATCGCGCGGGATCTTGGTCATGGTCCTCCTCCTCCTCCTCCTCCTCCTCCTCCTGCTCCTCGTCCTCCTGCTTCTCATCCTCCTGCTCCTCCTGCTCCTCCTGCTCCTCCTGCTCCTTCTGCTCCTCGTGTGTCTGCCCTCGAGCTCCTGCAGTGGTGCCGCCGCCGGAAGACGGTGAAGCCCTGGGAGCACACCTCGCGGCGGCGCTCACGAGGTGGGGTCTCGCGCGCGGCGGGGGCGGCCTTCTCTGAGAGGGCCAGGGGCTTCCCCTGTTTTTTTTTCCAGGCGGAATCCACACATCGCACGAGGTGCACGTTCGCAAGGCTGCGAAGCAGCCGACCAGGAAGAAGGGGAGAAAAAAGGGCACGCGCGGAGAGGGAAAAGAAAGGGGCTTCTGAGAGGGAGGAGGCCTCCGTGGAAGGGCCCGAGAGAGGCCTCTGCTCTGCTCTCAGAGGGGCCCCGAGGCTTCCGAGAGGGCTCACTGGGAAGCCTGCGGGCCCTGCTGCAGAGGGCCTTCTTCCGCCTCTCGAGCAGACCCTTTTGCCTGCCTCGAGGGCCCCCCTCCCTCGCGCCACCCCCTCTTTTGCGCACCGCCCCGCCTCGCAGGCCTTGGCGTCGCGGTCTGGCGTCCAGTACCAGTCCTCCCCCGGCATGCGGCATGCACGCGCGCGACTCAGAACAAGTGCTCGCGGCCGAATAGCACGAACTCGGAACTCATGAACAGCATCCCCCTCCTCCTCCTCCTCCTCCTCCTCCTCATCCTCCTCCTCCTCCTCCTCCTCCTCTCCTCCTCCTCCTGGCTCCCCTTCCTACTCCTCCTGTCTTCTCCTCCTCCTCCCTCTCCTCCGCCTCCTCCTCTGCTCCTCCTGCTTTCCTCCTCCTCCTCCTCCTCCTCCTCCCCATCCTGCCTCCTCTTGCTTGTGCTGCAGTGGGAATGCGGCAGCACAGCTTTACATGTGGTTTCAACGAGCCTGCAGTGTGGGTCCCCTTCCCTCCTGTGCGCTATACCCTGGTGCTCCAGCCTCGCTTCCCATCCTGCACTCCGAGGCGCCATCGGCCTGCTCACGCGATGCGGCTTTCCGCTCGCAGGGGTGTCTCCCTCATCGAATCCCCCTCCCCCCCTGCTACCTCCTCCTCCTGCTCCTCCTCCTCCTCCTCCTCCTCCTCCTCCTCTCCTCCCTCCTCCTCCCCCTCCTCCTTCCTCCTCCTGCCTCCTCCTCCTCCTCCTCCTCCTGGCTCCTCCTCACTCTCCTGGCTTCTCCTCCTCCTCCTCCTCCTCCTCCTCCTCCTCCTCCTCCTGGCTCCTCCTCCTCCTCCTCCTCCTCCCCATCCTGCCTCCTCTTGCCTCCTCCTGAGAGGGAGGCGGCAGTACAGCTCAACGATGTGGTGTTCAACGAGCCTGCAGTGTGGGCCCCTTCCCCTCCTGTGCGCTATAGCTGTGGCTCCAGCCTCGGCTGTCATCTGCACTCCGAGGCGCCATCGGGCCTGCTCACGCGAGGCGGCTTCCGCTCGCAGGGGTGTCTCCCTCATCGAATCCCCCTCCCCCCCCCTGCTCCTCCTCCTCCTCCTCCTCCTCCTCCTCCTCCCCTCCGCCTCCTCCTCCTCCTCCTCCTCCTCCTCCTCCTCCTCCTCCTCCTCCTCCTCCTCCTCCTCCTCCTCCTCCTCCTCCTCCTCCTCCTCCTCCTCCTCCTCCTCCTCCTCCCCTCACTCCTCCTCCTCCTCCTCCTCCTCCTCCTCCTCCCTCCTCCCCCCCTGCTCCTGCGCCCACGAGGCGCACATGAACGAAGAAGCCACGCACGGCTGCTCCTCCCGCGAAGAGCGGGACGCGAACCCGCGAAGCCGTCTCGAGGCGCGGACCCTCCCCCTCTGCCCCCCTGCGCCCACGGGGTGCGCACGAGCCACAAAACCAGCGCATGCTGGCCATCGCTCGGACGTCCATTCCCTGTGTTTTTTGTTGGGTTTCGTGCGTGGCTTTTTGCGCCAAATGATCAAGGATGCTCCTCGATGGTCCTCGCCGAAGGAAAAATGCACACGCCCGAGCGATGCCAAGCATGGCGGCCCTGCCCGCGGGGAACGGCGCGCGGCCTCGCGCAGGCGCCTCCGAGCGGAGGGGGGGGAGCCGAGGGCGCTCGGCCGCCGTCGGGGCCCCGCGACCCCAGCGGCGCGCTGTCGCATCTCCGGCGCCAGCAGTGCAGTTACATTTAGGGGCCCTGGGACACACAAACAAATACACAGATAGTAAGATTCCCCATATGTTCCCATACTCTCTGGGTTCTTGTCTTCCCCCCACTTGCAATCTTTCCCCATATTGTCTGGGGAATCGACGATTTATTGTGTCTGTGTGTGTTTTTCCTCTCCTGATTGCAGTCGGCCCGCATCGTAAGTTGACGGCGCGCAGAAGGGGGGTTGGGGAGGGGAGGGGAGGCTGCTCAGAAGGAGGCTGCTTCTTGGGAGGCGCCGGCCTTACATCTACAGACAAGGCCCGCGCCTCCCAAGAAGCAGAGGTGCTTCTAGGAAGCGTTCCCCCCCTCCCCTACCCCCCTCTGCGCGTGGCCGAATAAGGATGCGCGATAAGGATCCAAGGGCCCTGGGCGCCCGCTTCGAAGCTTCTCGAGCGGGGCGCGGCCAGCGGCAGCGAAAGTGGCCAAGAATGGACCGAGGTGGCAAGGATGCAAGGGGGGTATCCTTGGAAGGCTTCCCATCCTTGCTGTGCGGGTCGACTGTAACAGGGCGGGAAGTCTCAAGAGAATCAGACTGTCCAGACTGTCCTGCCCCTCACCCGTTGACAGGCTCAAGGAGACTTGCATGGAAGGCCGGCCGCCGCCGACTGGAAGAAACACCGGCACAAACATTGACTTCCGTCGGTCCGCAAGTACTTCTTGGATCGGCGCTGGATCCGCCCTAACGCGGCGCCATGGGCCCTCGGCGCGCTTCGCGCGCCAGGGAGGGGCGATAGAGCCGGCCCGCAGCACAAGGGTGCGCGATAAGGATGCAAGGACCTTGGAAGGCCATCTCGAAGCTTCTCGAGCGGAGCGCGGCCAACGAGAGTGGCCAAGGATGGACCGAGGAGGCAAGGATGCAAGGTTACCCTTGGGAAGGATATCCATCCTTATTATGCGGGTTGACTGTAAGCGATGCTCCAAGAACTCCGCGCGGAAGTCCGACGGTCTTCGCCTTTGCAGATGCTTGGGCTGCCCAGATGGGGGTCAGCACTCGAGGCCCCGCTCAAAACGCGCGCGCGCCGCTTCATGACAACGCTGCGAGACGACGCTCTCAGTCTGGTTATTCGGAGGTCTTCTGACCCGGGTCAGTCCAGACTCGGGTCAGCAGGAAACCAAACAACTGCAATGCAGGAACAAAAAAAACTGCAACGCAGGTCTTTGCAAACCCGGGTCAGCCAACAGGCACGGCCGCCTAGCGGCCACGAGCGGCTCGCTAACCCGGGTCAGGGTTCTTCGCAGGATCCTGCAGGATCCGGTGCCCTGGCTAAACCCCACTCTGCATTGACCCCCGTCTCAAGACTCCCAAGTTCTGGATTCCCCCCCTTGCCCGGCCCCCTGGTTCAAGGCTCTCCCGCCTGCTCAACAATCGAGATCTGCACTCTCCCCCTTGACCTACTCTCCTGCCCTGCCCTCCGGTTCCGCTTTTTTGGCGAGTTCTATCGAAAGGAAGGGGACCTGACATCAATTGATGTTGAAAGCGCTGGGGGTAGTTGTGCTTCCCCTTCCACTTGTCAGCTTTCGGCCAACCAAAACGGACAAACAACTGCAACCCACAGCTGAAAGAACAACGCGAAGCGAACCGAACCAAACACGGAACCGAACCGAACCAAACGCGAACGAGAATCCCGAGCGGAAAAGAAACGGACCCCAGCGCGGGGCAAGAACGTCGACCCTGAAAACGGGGGGGAGCAAAACCACGCCCCCATCGGTTCTGGCATCATCTAAGGACCTGCCCCCCCCTGCTGCCCAACGCAGGCGCCTCTTCGATTTTCGGCGGCCTGCCCCGCAGCGCCGAGCTGCCTCCCGCCCGTGGAAAGGAGTCCTCGCTGCCCTGCGCCATCGACCTCCGCATGAGGGCGGCCTCGGAGGCCTCCAGAATGGGCTCCGAGAAGATGGGGTCCAAGGATCGCGCCGCAAATCCGATGCATCTCGGCATCTCGGATGCATCGGCGATGCATCGGCGACGCTGGCGATGCCCTGGCGCCGTCGGCGTGGAGTACATCGGGATCCACGTCAGGCCGCAGCGCTGACGCATCGGCGATGCGGCGATGCATTGCTGATGCATCGGCGACGCCGGTGATGCACTGCCACCGTCGGCGTGGAGAACATCAGGATCCACATCCAGCCGCACCGCCGATGCATCGGCGATACGCGGCGATCCTTCGGCACCATTTGCTCGCATCCCATTCAGTAGGCCGTGGGTGGCGGCCTGGAGGCCCAGAGTGCTGTTGCCTTTGGGTCTGGAGGCCTCGAACTAGAACGAGGAGGATGGCATGATGCGATTGGCTCACGACACGTTCCAGGAATTCTGGAGCATCCAGCAGACCTGTCGTTTCTGCAGTCCGCGCGAGGCCAGAGAGCCTGAAAGTGTTGGAGCGCATCATCATCGTCACCCCTCGCTCCTTTGATGGTTGCCTGGAGGCCTGGTCCTGGAGGCCTGGGAACATAGATACAATGGCCCCCAGTGGGACAGGAGAACCCAGAATCGAATCGATGAGTCGGATCGGCGATCGAAATGAATCGGATCGGCAGAACTCGGCAGGCCAAAAAGGCCTCCATTGAGAAACCGAAGCCCGGATCGGATATCCGCCGGCCCCCTTGCGGGGCCATCAGGCTGCGAGGCTTAGGCTTGCTGCGCCCTGCACCAGTTCCAGTTTCCAGTTTCCATTGTTACAGCACTGCTTTCTGCCTCCTACTGCAAATTGTTACTGTCCGCGCGAGGAGGGGGGAGCCCCAAACTGCCCTGGTTAGCAACCCCCGGGAAGGTTCTCAGAATTCCTGGGGGGGTAAAATTAACACTCCTCACGCAGATCGGCGGGGTCAGGGTCCAAAGACACTTGGTATTTGCTACATTTCTGAAACTCGGTGGCACTCACACAGATCGGCGGGGTCAGGGTCCAAAAACACATTGAATTTGCCACATTTCTAAAATTCGGTGGCACCCCTCACGCAGATCGGCGGGGTCAGGGTCCAAAAACACATATTGAATTTGCCACATTTCTAAAATTCGGTGGCACCCCTCACGCAGATCGGCGGGGTCAGGGTTCAAAAACGCAAAGGATTTGCCGCATTTCTAAAATTCGGTAGCACCCCTCACGCAGGTCGGCGGGGTCAGGGTCCAAAAACATAAGGGATTTGCCGCATTTCTAAAATTCGGTAGCACCCCTCACGCAGATCGGCGGGGTCAGGGTCCAAAAACATTAGGAATTTGCCAAAAGTCTGAAATCCGGTGGTACCCCTCATGCAGATCGGCGGGGTCAGGGTCAAAAACACAAGGGATTTGCCGCATGTTTAAAACATCGGTGGCACCTCTCACGCAGATCGGCGGGGTCAGGGTCTAAAAACACAAAGCATTTGCCAAATTTCTGAAATTCGGTGGCACCCTTCATCAAGATCGGCGGGGTCAGGGTCCAAAAACACATGGGATTTGAAACATTTCTGAAATTCGGTGGCACCCCTCATGCAGATCCGTAGGGTCAGGGTCCAAAAACAAAAGGGATTCGCCACGTGTCTGAAATTCGGCGGCACCCCTCACGCAGATCGGCAGGGTCAGGGTCGAAAAACAAATAGGTCCCGACACTGCTTCACGGCAAAGCCAAAGCCTCATGACTTCGCTCTTCCATGGCCCATTCTCCGAGAGAGGGGGCCGGCGGCAGGGGGCGAAGCCCTTACGGATAAGTCGGAATCGGCATCCATCGACTTTGAATGTTCTAACGGGCGAAGAGCGGTATAAGATGCACTTTCCCGCCGCCGGGGGCGCCTGTCCCAGGGCGGCTGGGGTACAAACCTCCCAGCCGCCCTGGGGACAGGCGCGGCCCTCGTGACGGGAAACAAATACATCTTATACCGCTCTTCGCCCGCTAAGAATCGAACCGAGCCGGAGGAATCGACACGAGCCCTCCGCGGCGACGGGGATCGGCCCGACATGCCCGGGCCTGTGGTCCCGCGCGGTCGCCCTCGCCGCCGGCCTGCGTATCCAGCAGCAGCGACAGGCGCCCCACGCGCCCCGGCTGCGCCGAGGCCGCCGCCGCGCCCGCCCGCCGCGGCGGCTCCGAGCCCGCCTCTGCCGGAGGGCACCGAGCGATGCCAAGGCTTCACCCGTTGGGCGCCGATGAACGGAGGGGCGATGCAGCCGGCCCGTAGCACAAGGATGCGCGATAAGGATGCAAGGACCTCGGAAGGCCGTCTCGATTCCGAAGCCCCTCGAGCGGGTCGCGGCCAACGAGATGAAGCCCAGGCTGGACCGAGGAGGCAAGGATGCAAGGGTACCCTTGGGAAGGATACCCATCCTTACCGTGCGGGTCGACTGTAAGTGGGGGGGAGAGAGAAGGGCGCCCTTTGCGGGCCCCACAGGGGCTCCTTCCGGGCCCTCCAGCGACCCTGTAAGGGGGGGCCTGCACGGCCCCTTGCTGCAGCGCTCGCTGTCCCCTCATGTACCGTCCCCCCATTACTAGAGGCCTCCTAGATGGGGTCGGACGATCCCGCCGCATCGTCGATGCATCGTCGCTGCATGGCGATGCAACGGCGACGTCGGCGATGCATCGCCGACGTCGGCGTAGAGAAAATCGGCCTCCGCATCAAGCCGCATCAGCGATGCATCGGCGATGCGGCGCGCTCCACCGACCACATCTACTCGGACCCCATCTAAGATTGTGGATGCCATGACAATGGACACTCTAACAATCCGATCATCGAATTAAAGATGTGCTTGGATTGTGTAAAACATGTTCTGACAATGTTTCAAACATGTGTTTAACACATGTAAAACATACTTAAACATCTTGTAGACATCTGGAAATTACTAGGCAACATGCTTCCTCTCCATTAATCGACTTCCGCAAATCTAAGAAGCCTAGAACTGCGCGTCCCCCGACCGCGCTCGGGGGGGGGGGCGGATCGGGACACACAAAGGCCGGGGGGGGTCCATCTGGCCCAGGGCGCGAGCCCAGAAACGATGCTTTTTGTTCCGTGCTCGCTCTGCTGCCGCCTTCCCTCGTGCTGTCTCCGCTCCGCCTCTGCCGCCAGCCTGGATCAGAACGAGACCAGCCCCCGAAAAATCGCAGAAAACAACTTTGGAGTCCCGAAACCGTGCGGTGACGGACCGTGCGGTGACCTCGAAATCCCCCCAGACCTCACCGCACGGTCCGTCACCGCACGGTTCTGGGACCCCAGAGGCCCCGGTCGCCCGAGACGTCCTCGGAGAGGGGCTCGAGTCCCAGAACCTTGCGGCGACCCCGAACCCCCACCGACTCACCGCACGCCGTGGTCACCGCCCCGGTCGGGGGCCTCCGAGGCAACACCGCCCAGCTCGCGCCCTGCCGGGAGCCAGGATCGAGAGGGCCGAGGTCCTCCTCCTCCTCCTCCTCCTCTCTCCTCCTCCTCCTCCTCCTCCCCTCCTCCTCCTCCTCCTCCTCCTCCTCCTCCTCCTCCTCCTCTCTCTTCTTCTCCTCCTCCTCCTTCTCTTCCTCCTCCTCCTCCTCCTTCACTTCCCCTCCTCCTTCTCCTCCTCCTCCTCCTCCCCCCTCCTCGGGGGGCCGGGCAGGCACACGGCGCGTGGCCCCCGCAGCGGCCTGCGCATATGCCGAGGCTGCCACGCGGGCCCGCCCGCCCGCCCCCCCCCCCCCCCCCCTCCGGAGGTCCTCCGCGAGGCGCCCCGCGGGGCCTCCACGAGGAGCCCCGGCGCCCCGCCCCCCTCGGCGACTCGACGGCCCGCAGACCTCAGAACGCTGTGCTCGCGCCAGCATGGGCTTCGTCCACCGAGTTCTCTCTCAACTTGACGCATGCGGCGCAGTGAGGACCGACACGGACTGCGCGCCATCGGGGGAGCTGAACAGGGGCATCACTCTGGGCCAAGGCGTCCTGCGGATCATCGATCAACGTCCTCTGGAGCGCTCACGGGTCCTCCGAAGTCCTTCGGACCCCCCAGGCCCCCCGGCGTGTTGCGAGGAACCCGAGCTCTTCCGAGGTACGCCGAGGTCCTACGAGGCACGCCTAAGTGCCCGAACTGGCCCCATGACCTTAGCGTGAGGGACGAGGGTTCTAAGAGAAACGGGTCACGCACACCCTGGGGTTTTCCCAGGCGGTGGCGCTTCGGAACCCGACTCGTCTTGTGAAGGTCCTGGGGGCCCAAGACTTCCAGGGACTGAGCAAAACACACATTGCTCCTTTCCTTCATGACCGCCAGAAGGGACTCACGACTTGCGCCGCTGGGGGGTTCTCAAACTGGTTACTGGCCCAGGGTACTTTCAACGTTTCGCGCCACTCGTGAAAACCCCTTTGGACCTCACGAGGGATGAGCGCCGCTTGACACGCCCGAGGTAAGGACGATGCCAGCAGCACATGCCGTTCCAGGCCGACCACGGCCACCAGCGGGCAGGCGGCACCCGTCCCGAACGGCACGACCGCGGCGGCGTGGACGACCGCGGCGACGTGGGCTGTCGGTCTTCGCCCCGCGCCTTTGACCCCGCGCCCCTCCCAGACGTCCGACGGACTGCTTTCCCTCAATCCGCAGGCCCCCAGGAGCCTCGGCCCCTTCCATGGGGACAGCTTCCCGACCCGGGTCCATGCGTGGTTGCGCCGGGGCCCGATGAGCGCCCTCAAGATGCCGAGATGGGGCAGCCAGCATTGAAACATCATTCTGCGACGTGCCCTACAATCTGCATCAAGTGCCCAGAGCAATTGGGCCACATTGTTCACACAGATGGCAGCACAGAACCACCGTAATCTTCACAAGCTACACTGGAGATGCGCGCGCGTTGCACGACTCACGGGACAGCAATAGAAATGCCGAGAGGTGAGGCTCCGATTTCGGAGAGGAGAGGGTCGGCAAGGAGGGACAGGATCAGGCCGGAACAGGAGCGCAGAAGTCAACGAGGCAGCAGCAGGGGGGACGGTAAAGGAGGCAGAGGCCTGCCACGAGGGAGGAGGGAGGAGACACGCGTGGCGACTTGCTGAGCCAGCTCGCTGATGAGCGGCGATGCCGCCGCCATGTCGCTCTGGCGCCCTGAAGACACGAGCTGTGCATGACTGGTGCAGGGAGTGAGCGAGGCCAGGCTCGCATCCCTCCTGTCCCCGAGGGAATCGCGAGAGCGGGCACTCTCTGCTGGCCCTCCCGGCAGCCCTCGACGGTGGCGACGAGTTCGGCACAGGGCCGAACCCAAACGGTGTTTTTCGTTTTCGGGCTATTGTTCGTTCTTCCTGGTTTTGCCTTCGCTTCGACTTGAATGCAAAACAGCACAAAAAAAACGGCCCACGAGATGGACAAAACATCGTTTAGGTCCAGTCCTGGTTCGGCACTAGCAGCCCCCAGGGATGGCGAGGCAGGCTCCTGGCCAAGCAGAAAACGGGCAGCAAGCAGCAGGGAAGAGAGGAGGAGGCGGAGAAAGGCGGGAGGCGGGGGGAGGGAGGAGACGCGATCCCAGTGCAACCTGTCGGGTCGGACGTTAAGGGAGGGGTTGTTTAGCGGCGCACGCACGAGGGATAGAGGGCGGGGGGGAGGCTTCTTAGGAAGAGGCGGCTTCTTAGAAGGCTCTGGCTCTACACCTACAGACAAGGCCCGCGCCTTCACAGAATCAGGCGTGGTTCTAAGATTCCATCCCCCATCCCCCTACCCCCCTTTGCGCGCGGCTGAATTTTAGCCATGGGAAGGTTGGCAAATCAGCTGCATGCAGCTGGTCTTACCAGCGCCGGAGGCGACAATGCATCAAGGAGCGTGCCCAGCGGCTGCGCCGAAACCAGCTGCGTGCAGCAGGTGTCGCACGCCCCCCAACAGAAATCCCAGAAATCCAATGCCTTGACTCGCTCGATGCGGGGCCCCTAGAAGTCCCAACCCTTCCGCAGGGCCAACTCTTTACACTCAGCCGTTTTGAAGGTCCTGCAGGGCCCGGTGAGGGCCCTTGGCTTTAGCCTTGATCACCAGCAAGATTTTCGAGCACCGAGAAAGTACCGAAACTCGAGGATTTTCACGCGTAGGGCCCTGGGAGGCGATTCTCGCTCGACAATGCTTCGATACTTTCTGGGTGCTCGAAACTATGTCTGGGATGTGGTCTTAAGTTCGATGGGAGCAACAGAACCCTTGAAAGCCGGAAGAGGTCTCTAAACCTCCGTCCTGCGTCTTGAGATCATTTCAAACTGTCGGCTGCCTGTGCGCCTCTCCCTGTCGGATGCGCCGAAGAGGGGGGGCCCTTGGCGCACCATGGCCCGAGGCATCTGCGCGGACGAGAGGGGGCCAGGGGAAGCATGGAAGGAAAAAGACAAGGAGGGGGCCATGACACCTGGCAGATGTCACTGCCCGGGCCATGATGTTATCTAGACGCAACTGGTCCTCACACCCCTCCTGGACTAGAGGCCTCCCAGATGGGGTCGAAGTAGGTGGCGTCGGAGGACCGGCGATGCATCGGCGACGTCGGCGGTGCATCGGCGACGCCAGCGTGGGGAAAATCGGGCTCCACATCGAGCCGCATCGCCGATGCATCGGCGACGTTTTTCGAACGGGGCTGGCCCGCGAAAGTCGCCAACGAGGGGCCGAAGGGTGCAAGGGTGACCTTGGAAAGTTGTTCATCCTCACTATGCCCTGTGACTCTACTCCGACCCCCGCTGGGAGGCCCAGGAGTCCTCAAACCCCGCTGGGACGCCCCGTGGCTCTGGACTGGCCTGTGGGCGTCGCAAACTAGGGAGGGGGGGGGGCGATGAGTGTGGGGGAGGGAGAAAGGTGCGCTCCTCGGGCCCGGAAGGCCCCCTCTCTTTGGGGCCCTTCGGGGCCACTTCGGGGGCCCCTCCTCTGCAGCCCTCGCACCCCCCCCACAACCGCGACGCTCAGGGCCCGAGCGGGGTCGGCGCCCCCCGGCGGGTGCAGAGTGCGACCGGCGCCCCGCGCTCCCCGCCCCTCCCATACCCCTCCTCCCCGCGGCCACCTCCGCGGCCCTCTCCGCCTCCGAGCGGAGGGGTGCGGGCGCCAGCCTCCAGGGGAGGCGCGCGGGGTGGGTGGGGGGGGACACGCTCTCCGAGCCCCTGCAAACGGGGTGTTTGCGGGGTGGTAGCCAAGGGCGCGCTTCCACTCGTTTCCACTCACTTGTGCCTTCGAAAAACTGATTTGCCGCGCGGAGGTGCGAGGTAGTCCCCCCGCCCAGAGTTCATGATGATGTGTCGACGATTTTGTCGCCCCGATGTATCGCGCACCAGTGCGAGGTAAATGCCCCGGCCCCCTGTACTCGCTCGTAGCGGCCCCTTAGCGACCACCCCGTTTACTGTGGAGGCCAGTCCACAAGAAACCTTCCACAAGAAACCCAACCCTGAGACAGCAGGACGTCCATTACACAGAACGTCACTATTCCATCGCACAACCAGCAAAACCAAAGAAACCCAGGGCACCCTGGAGGCAAGCAGGGTGTGTCCTGACATGGGCCCCCACTGTACGAACACCCCGTCTGCAGGGGCTTGGACTCTCTGAGAGCCAGCCAGTGCGTCCACAGTGGTTGCTGCTCACGCAGAGGCGGAGGCGGAGGCGGAGGAGCTGCCCAGGGAGGAGGAGGAGGAGGAGGAGGAGGAGGAGGAGGAGGAGGAGGAGGAAGAGGAAGAAGAGGAGGAAGAGGAGGAGGAGGAGGAGAGGAGGAGAAGGAAGAGGAAGATGAGGAAGATGAGGAGGAGGGAGGAGGAGGAGGAGGAGAGGGGCAGGAGGGGGAGGAGAGAGGAGGCGCTGCCGCAGCCGAGCGAGGGAGGGACTGCGGAGAGGGAGGGGCCCAGACCTCCTGCCGCCGCCCCCGTGTTCTCTCGAGGCGTGGGCCCCCTGAGGTCTGGACTCCACTTCCCTGGCCCCCGAGGCACATACCACTGAGGAGGCGGTCCTCCTCCTCCCCCTCCTCCTCCGCCTGCTCCCCCTCCTCCTCCTCCTCCTCCTCCTCCTCCTCCTCCTCCTCCTCCTCCTCCTCCTCCTCCTCCTCTCCTCCTCCTCCTCCTCCTCCTCCTCCCCCTCCCCCTCCTCCTCCGCCTCCTCCTCCTCCTCCTCCTGCTCCTCCTCCTCCTGCTCCCCCTCCCGTCCACCTCTCCCGCGTGGCGGCTCGCCCTGCTTCCACCCCCATACAGTGGAGGCCGCTGCCTCGCCCCCTTTCCGCCCTCCCATCTCCACCACCCAGACAGAATCGCGTCGCTAAACAAAATCGGGACGGGAGGTGCTGTGGGCCACTTTCGGCCTCGGGGGGCCCTCGCCGGGCCTCGGGACCGTCAAATAATGACTCTCGAAGGGAAACCGGTCCCAGGGGGAAGGGTCTGGACTTCCAGGGACCACTTCCTCCCAGACATTATCGTGTCGTGAAAAAATCAGAACGGAAGGTTTTTGGCCACTGTCGGACTCGGGGGGCCCTCGCCGGGCCTCGGGACAGTCAAACAACGACTCAGGAGGAAAAGCCGATCCTGGGGAATGGGTCGAGACCTCTGGGGGTCGACGTTAAACAAATCCATGACGTCGGGGGTCTGGGAAGAGCGCCATACTATGGTGGGCTGAGGCTTCCTCCGTCTAGCCCCCCTCCCCCACGGTGGAGACCTCTGTCTCGCCCCCCATCCACCCTCTCACCTCCACCAAGTCCCTCCCTCCCTCCCTCCCTCCCTCCCTCCCTCCTCCCTCCAGGGGTGAGCCTAAACGGTGTTATGATTTTTCGTTTTGTTTTCGTGCACCCTCGTTCTGTCTTCAGTTCGCCTTTACCGCAAAACGAGATCGAAACGAAAACGGCCCACGAAATCGTCAAAACAGCATTTAGGGCCACCCCTGGCCTACACCATGTAATTAGCTTAGGTCGGGCATGTCCTCCTGCAGGCGGATTCTGCAAGACAGATAAACACTTGTCAAACAAATTCGCCAGCCCAACGGACCAAGGTCGTGCTAAGATCTCCGGTGACTGGTTGACAATGTTCTAGTTCGCGCGCGCGGTGCCGCCCCCGGGGGTCCCCGGACGAGAAGTATCCCTGCAGGGTCCGGGCAAGTCCAGGGAAGGTCCCGACAAGTCCCGGCTAGGTCCCGGACAGGTCCCCGCCAGGTCCCGGCCAGGTCTCAGCAGGCTGCCAAGAGCGTTCCAGGAGTGCTTCTAGTGGCCTCCAAGGGAGCTCAACATATGGCCCAAGACGGCCCTAGCGCGATCCAAGGCGCCAAAGATGGCCTCCAGAATGCCCAAAGCCTGCAAGTCGCCCCCACTGGCCTCCAAGAGACCTCCCAAGAGGGTCCACCAGAGGCAGAAATTAGCGATTTAGCTGAAGTTTTTGAAGTTTCTGGCGTTCTCGCCTTGGGGCTTACCAGCGCTCCAAAATGGCCCAGGAGGCTTCCAGGATCGCCCCAACACGGCCTCTGAGTCCCAAAGGGCCTCGAGCAGCCCCAGAGGATTCCAAGATGGCCGAAGCGGCTCCCACTACGGCTCCAAGAGCGGTCTCAGACGAGGGACCCGAACGGAAATTTGGAGCTCTAGGCGCAGAGAGGTTCCCTGGAAGCCCGAAGAGGCCCCTAAGAAGCCCCCCAGAGGCCCCCCAGAGGCCCCAAGAAACTCCCCAAAGGCCCCAAGAGTCTCCCAAGAGCGCCCACCAGAGGCAGAAATTAGTGTTTCCCCATCAGTTTCAAAAGGTTTTTGGCGTTCTCGCCTTGAGAGCTTACCGGAGCTCCAAGACGGTGCAAGAGGCTTCCAGGATCGCCCCGACACGGCCCGAGAGGCCTCCAAGAGCGCCCAAAACTGTCCCAGAGGGCCCCACGACAGCCCCAGAGGCCTCCAAGGTGGCCGAGGAAGCTCCCAAAACGGCTCCAAGAGCGGGCCCAGACGAGGGACCCGAACGGAAATTGAGAGCTCTAGGCGCAGAGAGGTCCCCTGAAGGCCACAGGAGGCCCCCAAGAAGTCCCCAAGACGCCCCCGAGAGGCCGCAACAGACCCCCAAGAGGCCCCCGCGACGCCCCAGGAGGTCCCAGAAATACCTCCAAGAGGTCCCAAAAAAAGAAGCTCCAAGAGGCCCCCAAACGGCCTCCAAGAGGCCACGAACGCGCAGGCAAACGCCTGCGATGGCACAATACGGGCCGGCAGAGTGAGCGAAGCGATTAATTCGCCGGCCCAACGGGCCAGAGGCGTGCTAAGATCTCCGGTAACTGCTAAATAATACTTCTACTTCGCGCGCGCGGGGCGGCCCATGGGGGTCCCCGGACGAAAAGTACCCGGGCGATCCCCGGCAGGGTCGGGTCAGAGATGGTTTTCCTCCTGGGCGCCGCCCCCGTGGCCCTCCAGAGAGCCCGAAGGGCCAAGAGCCCTCCAAGATGGTTCAAGAGTGCTCCGAGATGCCACACGATCGTTCCAAGACGCCCAAGACGGCCCCCAGACGCCCCAAGAGGCCTCCAAGAGCACTCCCCAGAGGGCCCCAAGAGGCAAAATTCATTACTTTTCCTTAGGTTTTGGGCAGATTTTGGCGTGTCCATCTTTTCGGCTTCCCGACGCCCCAAGACGGCCCAAGAGGCCCCCAAGATCGCCCCAAGAGGGCCCAAGAAGCTCCCAAGAAGGCCCCAAGATGGCCCAAGAGGGCTCCAAGACGGCCCCAGAGGCATCCAAGACGGCCCACGAGGGGCCCAAGAGGGCCCCAAGCGATGCCCCAAAGGGGGAACACAAAACAAAACTTCGAGCCCTCGGCCTTAAGAAGCCCCCAGGAGGCCTGAAGAGGCCCCTGAGAGGCCCCCAAAAGCCCCCAAGAGGCCCTCAGGAGGCCCCCAAGCGACGCGGAAGAGGCCCCCCAGCGGCCCCAAGAGGCTCAGTCATGCGAAACGGGCCGGCGGAATGAGCGAAGCGATTCAATGATCAAACATGGCCAACAACAAGCACGACCACTCGTCCCCAGACTATGTTTTGACTATTCTTGAGTGCTCCTCCTGTAGTGGGGCATGCCCGACTTAGCACTTAGCCTGCACCACACCGGCTTAGCCTGCACCGCACACGCTGCACGGCGCAACCGGCACCACACACCATGCACATCGACTGCAGCGCAGTTCTTGCACCACGCAGCTTCCGCACCCAGAGCGCAACAGCTTGCTGTTTGGGGTCCACGCTGACAAGCATTAAGCATCAGGCAGGCGGGGACGGGGAAGCCTCAGCACTGCCTCGAGGATGACGGGGCGGTGGTCGCTGCCCCCCTGGGCGTGGTTCACCTTCGAGCCGCGGAGGGAGGGAGGAAGGATGGAAGGAGGAAGGACTGCGACGAAAGAGTAAGGGTGAGGAAGGGGGGCAAGAAAGATGAAAGATGAAGGATGACGACGATGAAGGATGAAGGATGAAGGATGACGACGATAAAATTATCCCGGCAAAGCAACCTAACAGCGATGTGTAGGAGCATATCTGGAAGCATTCCCCTTAAGATTCAGATAAGAATCCTGTTGTAGAATTCTGCTGTTCTCGCAGTCGTGGTCGCATTCGCGATGGCAGTCGCAGTGGCAACAGCAGTCGCAGTCACAGCCTCAGCCTCAGCCTGCCTCAGCCTCAGCCTCAGCCTGCCTCAGCCTCAGCCTGCCTCAGCCTCGCCCTCAGCCTGCTTCAGCCTCAACATCAGTCTGCCTTCAGCCTCGGCCTCAGCCTGCCTCAGCCTCACCCTCAGCCTGCATCAGCCTCAGCCTGCCTCAGCCTCGCCCTCAGCCTGCTTCAGCCTCAACATCAGTCTGCCTTCAGCCTCGGCCTCAGCCTGCCTCAGCCTCACCCTGCATCAGCCTCAGCCTCAGCCTCAGCCTGCCTCAGCATCAGCCTGCCTCAGCCTCAGCCTCAGCCTGCCTCTGCCTCAGCCTCAGCCTGCTTCAGCCTCAGCCTCAGTCTGCCGTCGGCCTCGGCCTCAGCCTCAGCCTGCCTCACCCTCAGCCTGCATCAGCCTCAGCCTCAGCCACAGCCTGCCTCAGCATCAGCCTGCCTCAGCCTCAGCCTCAGCCTCAGCCTGCCTCAGCCTCAGCCTCAGCCTGCTCAGCCTCAGCCTGCCTCAGCCTCAGCCTGCCCAGCTCAGCCTCAGCCTCAGCCTGCCTCAGCCTCAACATGCCTCAGCCTCAGCCTCAGCCTGCCTCATCCTGCCTCAGCGAGCGCGCGCGAGCCGATGCGCGAGTGCGAGCGCGCCGAGCGCGAGCGCGATGCGCTCATAGCCTCAGCCTCAGCCTGCCGTCAGCCTCAGCCACAGCCTGCGTCACCTCAGGCCTCATCATCAAGCATGCGACACCTCAGCCTCAGCCTCAGCCTGCCTCGGCCTCAGCCTCAGCCTGCCTCAGCCTCAGCGTCAGCCTCTCAGCCTCAGCCTGCACCAGCCTCAGACTCAGCCTCAGCCTGCCTCAGCCTGCCTCAGCCTCAGCCTCAGCCTGCCTCAGCCTAAGCCTCAGCCTCAGCCTCAGCCTGCCTCAGCTCGGTCCTGCATCAGCCTCAGCCTCAGCCCTCACCTGCCTCAGCCTCAGCCCCTCAGCCTCACCTGCCTCAGCCTCAGCCTCAAGCCTCTTCAGCCTCAGCATCAGTCTGCCTTCAGCCTCGGCCTCGGCCTCGGACTCAGCCTCAGCCTGCATGAGCCTCAGCCTCAGCCTCAGCCTGGCTCAGCATCAGCCTGCCTCAGCCTCAGCCTCAGCCTGCCTCAGCCTCAGCCTCAGCCTGCTTCAGCCTCAGCCTCAGTCTGCCTTCAGCCTCGGCCTCAGCTTCCGCTTGCCTCAGCATCAGCCTGCATCAGCCTCAGCCCCAGCCTCAGCCTGCCTCAGCATTCACACTGTGGCCCAGGAATAGAGTTCTGGAAACTAGAAGAACACGAAGTGGCCTACAGTTGGCTCTGGGCATTCAAAATCATGCCCAGGAATGGAGTTCTGGGAACTTGAAGAGCACGAAGTGGCCTACAGTTGGCTCCGGGCATCCAAAATGTGGCCCGGGAATTGAGTTCTGGGAAGTCGAAGAGCACGAAGTGGCCTACAGTTGGCTCCGGGCATCCAAAATGTGGCCCGGGAATGGAGTTCTGGGAAATCGAAGAGCACGAAGTGGCCTACAGTTGGCTCCGGGCATCCAAAATGTGGCCCGGGAATGGAGTCCTGGGAAGTCGAAGAGCACGAAGTGGCCTACAGTTGGCTCCGGGCATCCAAAATGTGGCCCGGGAATGGAGTTCTGGGAAGTCGAAGAGCACGAAGTGTGGGACTGTTGGTGAAAAACGTGCGAACAAGAACAAGAAAAAAATAAAAAGCGAAAAAAAAAAAGAAAAAAAAAAAAAAATAAGAAAAAAAAGAAAAATAGAAAATAATCGAAAAAAAAACAAAAAGAAAAACGAAATATACCACACCCTCCGCCCCAAACTCCCAACACCTGCCCGACCCCCCTGTGGAGTGATCTGTGAGCTCTTTAGTACCACTAACAACCTATCAGTCTTCGCTGTTAGGTAAAATGAAGGAGCTGAAGCAACGAGGATGTAGGATGAAGGATGACGAAGATGAAAGATGAAGGAGCTGGAGCAAAAAAGAGGGAGGGGTGGGAAATCACCTTGGTGCCACCGTCTGGAAATTCCCACGAGATGCGGGATGCCAGTCCCCGGGGCGCCCAGTAGATGACCCTGTCCGCGCAGGCGGGGAATCTGTAATTCTTGAACTCCTTCTCCTTGAACTTGATGGCCCACCGATCTAGAAACTCGTCCCCCGCGTCCTTCAATACCTTTCTGTACGCCTCGGGGTTGTGCGCATCCATGGAGATCTCCGGAGCGTTCGGGAAGAGTCGTGCGCAGGACGCTGCCTCTATCAGGTCACCCAGGCGGAGCAACTCGCGCTTGTCTCTGCTGGCGGCCTCGACCTGCTGTTGCGATGGCTGGGCCCTGAACTTGTAAGTCGCGGGGAGCGCAGACGCGGTGTCTTGGGCATCGAGCTCATACCACCGTCCTGGGGGGATGCCCAGATCATGAGAGATTGCATCTTGAAGCACCTCGTCGCTCAAAACCTCGTGCATGATGTCGTAGAGAGAACTTCCTAACAGCATGCTTCTGCTGTTCAGGTCGCCGTGCACAAACAGGATGGTGCTCCTGCACGCTGGGAGAGAACTGCCGGGTATAAGATCGGCTGCGGAAAACGATGCCCAACGCGCTTGCTCCCGGGGGGGGGCCAGTGGTCGCACCCCTTTCCACGAAGAATCGTCTTTCTGTCCCCCCCCCCCCTTCCCCTGTCCTCTAATAATCCTCCCTTCTGTCCCCCCCCCCTTCCCCCGTCCTCCTCTATCCCCAGGCGGCCAACTCCTGACCCGAGACCCGTCATGGATCTGACCTGTGGGAGGTGGGGGTGTGTCGACTGCGGGGAGGGCCGTCCTGCCTGGAGGACGAGCCTCTTCCCCCTCGCTTCCGATTGGAGTCTGCCTGCAACACACCTCCTCGAACTGAATCGGACCACTACACCTCGAGGAGCTCCAGCGCAGGCTCTCGGGCTGACCAGGCAATATGGCAGAGGCAGAGGAGAGGGAGGAGACGGAGCAGAAGAGGGATGGGGGACGATGAATAGGACGACGAGCACGAGATCGAGGAAGCAGCCAAATCGTATTGCTTGTCTGGGAGCAGAGGTGATCAAGGAGCCAGGTCAAATCTTTCCCAAGCCAGGTGGACCCAGAGAGGCCTCGAAGGAGGCACAGGGACCCCTCCGAACCTCAGTTTCGACGCGCCGAACTGCAGACTGGCCCACACGAAGCGAAAAAGATAGAGGAACAGACAACGGCATATACATGAACTGTCGGAGCTCCACGCGGATATGTTGGATCGGCGATGCACCCCCTCCCTGGCGCGCGGAGCGCGCAAAAGGCGGCGCCAGAGGCGCCGGAGGCGCCGCCAGGGGGGGCCAACGCAGATCCACATAAACCGCGCGGACCGTCGGAAGTTCACTTTTCTGCAGCTCTCGCTTGTTCGAAGCAATGCGCCCAGAGAAGAGTGAGCCTAGGTAGCGGGGAAACACAAGTCCGCACACACACACACACACCCACACACACAAATACACACACACACGTATACGCACACGCACACGCACACGCACACAAGCACAAGCACATACACACGCACACACGCACAAACGCACACACGGACACACGGACACACACACACACACACAAACACGCACACACGCACACACGTGCACACGCACACACGCACACACGCACACACGTACACACACGCACACACGCTCACACGCACACACCCGCACACCCGCACACCCGCACACACGCACACACGCACACACGCACACACGCACACACGCACACTACCACACTACAGAATAAAATGAACAACAAGAAACAACATTAACAATGAAAAAAAAAGAATTTAAAAAGAGACGCACAAACACACACACACACAAGCACACATCACACACACACACACACACGCACACACACATAAAACGTCACACACCAACGCACCACTGCACGCACATAGAAAATCACGCACGCCACGCACGCACGCACGCACGCACGTCACGCGCAAACGCACGCAAACGCACGTCACAGCAACAAAACACAACACGCACCGCGCGCACGCCGCACGCGCGCACGCAACGCACAACACCCGCCGCCCCCCACACCGCCCGCCCAGCCCGCCTGGCGCCTCCCGTGCCCACCGCGCCTGCACACCCCCGCACACCTCCGCAAACACCCGCGCACACCCGCACACACCTTCACACACCCGCACACACGCACGCACGCACAGATGCACGCACGCACACACGCACACACGAACACACGCACACACACACACACAAACACACACACGCACGCACGCACGCACGCACTGACACGCACGCCCGCGCGCGCGCGCGCACGTGCACGTGCACGTGCACAATCACACGCACACGCACAAAAAAACATGTCCTGCCGAGAACAGAGCCCGCCCTCGCCTTTCGCAGCACGTTGCGCAGCTCGCTGGCGCACAAGCGCTTGGCAGACTCCAGCGGCTCCCGCGAGGGATCCTCCGCCTCGAGGACCCCGGAGAGCTTCGAGATGGGGAAGTGCGCCCCGACGAAGCAGAAGCGGTACCCGTGGAAGCCTCTGTCTCGCCCGCCGAGGCTGCGGCCCAAGAAGGCCTTCTTGGGACTCTTCGGTGGCAACTCCTGGGAGCCTCCCGCACCATCTTGTCGGCTCTTGCGAACCGACGCTAGTCGACGCTAAATAGACGCTGATCGACGCTAAATCAAGGCTAATCGATGCTAGCCGACGCTATCTCATCCACTCCCAGACGCTAATCGACGCTTAAAGACAGAATTAGATGGTAGATCTGGATCCCATGATTTGCTACCGAGGGATTAGGAACAGCATACGGTCCCACCATGGCGTCCGTAAAGAGGCCAAAGAGATCGCCTGTCTTGTCTTCCTCGAAGCGAGAGCTCGCAAACGCCAGCACCGTCTTCAGGTCCCCGTTGTAACCACCGGCCAGAGATTCTATCAAGCCCCGCACTGCGTTCTCTCTGCCCTCAACGCTCTCGCTGATTGCGGAGGCCGCGAGGAGACCGTCTGGCTGGGGATTTCTGCTACCTCGGTGCGCTGCCAACAAAGCCTCGACCACCCTCTCGTCCGCAGGAATCTCTGGCATCGCCATCGATACGATGTCTGGCAACCGCGCATCCGCCAAGGGCTCGCTCAAGATCGAGGCAAAGTCTTGCCTCCCACGGATCCCCAACAGGGCCCCGATGTGCCTGAGGTCGCCGCTGTTGGCCATGTTGAAGCTGTAGAAGCGGATCCTGACCTCCGCCGGCATCGCCGCCGCTGCCGACCCTGCCGGAGCCGGGTCGGCGGGCGCCTCGGAGCTGGCGCCTCCTGCAGCCGCCGCCTCGGCGCAAAAAAAAGACATGGTCGGCTCGACCGGCGCTGCAGCGGCGGCAGCCTCTGCAGCGGCAGCGGCGACCTGCGCCGCGGCGCCGGCCGGCGCCGCGGGGGCGGCGCCCGAGCGCGCCGGCGCCTCCGAGGCGGCGGCGGAAGCAGCGGCCGGGTCCGCACAGAAGAAGGAGACAGTCCGCCGTGACCGGGGGTCTGCAGCAGGTGGGTTGGCGTTTTCGCCGCGCAGGCAGCAGCAGGGTCTGCCGGCGCCGCTGCCGGGTCGGCACCAGGCGATGGCGCGGTCGGCAACGATACGGATACGGAATCTGCGGTGACTCGGTCGCCTATGGACGGCCGCCGAGGGGGGAGTCGTATCTGCGCGCGCTGCCAAGGCGGCGCTCGCTGCGACGGCTTTGTCGGCGCAACAAGAGCGGAATCGGCGACCGTGCCTCGGCACTGTTGGAATGCCTGCCAGCTATCTCTCCTACGGCAACTGCCATGTTATGATGGCGACCCCTGGCCACCTCGGGGCGTCAGTGTACACAGTCGATCGGAGCGGGTAAAAAAGAGGAGCCCCTTCGCCGACGGCCCGAAAACCCGGGCAAAAACCAAAAAACGGAAAGCATACCAATGTGCAGAGGCCCACACGCATGCAAAGAACACAGGGGTACGCCTCCAAGGCTAGGGTTGTTCTTGACTGTTGTGCCAAGATCGCCTGCGGCGATGTATCACATGGGAACGCCCCGAGGGGTAGGGGATTCGACCCCTATGGCTTGATCCCTGGTGCCCAGCGCGGACCTAAGGCTTTGAGCTTCCTCGAGCCTTGAATTTCCTGAGGTGCCCCAGGGCTTGTGTGGGTCTTTCCCCTAGGCCATCGGGGGATGAGACACTTCTGTGGGGCACCAGTGGGCAGGCGGGTCTCTTATCGGTCGTGCCTAGCTGTGGGGCACCAGTGGGCAGGCGGGTCTCTTATCTGTCGTGCCTAGCTGTATCCCCCAGAGGCTTCAAATTGCCGCCGCGAGGTCCTCACATGCCCAAGGCAACCCTGAGAGGCCCCTCGGCCCCTCAGGAGCTTCCCAGCAGACCCCAAGCCATAAAGGCCCAATAGAGAAGAAGTCGTTGCAGCTACTCTTGCATCCCAAGCTCTTGCACTCTCCCTCGAGCCGCCGGAAGAAGCCCGAAGATGGCCTGAGGACGGCCCGAGGACCTCACAATACGGCCCTAGAACAACCCAGGGGCCCCAAGACCCGCCCAGACGACCCCGAGATGCCTCTGCCCAGACGTATCTGGAGGCCTCCGCAGAAAACGGCCTCGGGTCGTCCAATACATGCCCCCAGGAGGCCAACCAGAGCCCTCGAGAGGCCTCCGAGAGGCCCCGAGAGGCATTCGAGAAGCCTCCAACTGGCCATCGCTCGGACGTCCACTCCCCGTGCATTGTTTTCAACCTCGTGAGCGTACCTTCCCCGAGATGATCCAGAATGCTCCTCGATGGTCCTCGCCGAAGAGCGAACGCACACGTCCGAGCGACGCCGTGCCGGAAGACGTTTCCTTCCGCGTGCATGGCGAAGCTGCGCAGGCACGCTGGCGGAGCCTGCCAAAGGCAACCCGATGGTCGACCGCGCCTGGAAGCCCGCGGGGGTCGGGCCAGCAGCCGTCGCGCAGGCGGCGCCCTCGGCAGCGACTGGACAGGCCGCCCCCGCGGCCCCTGGGCCGAGCGGCGCGGCCGAGTCGCCGCCGAGGAAGCAGCTGAGGCGCTGAGTCCTGGGCCCTGCGGCGGCGACGGCCTCTGTCGCAGAGGCGGCAGACTCTGCAGCGGCAGGACCGGCCGGCGCCACGGAGGCGGCGGCCTGCGGGGAGGATTGGGCTGACCCGGGTGAAGGACCAAACGGGGGTCAGTCGGGCTCTGCAGGGTCCTGTCAGATCCCGCAAAGGTCTGCAGGATCCTGCGCCCAAGCCGGGGTCTGTGCATCCCTGGCCCTGCAGGGTCCTGCAAGACCTGACCCTCGTTTGCACGGACCCCCGGCCCTAAGGCCCTTGAGCCCCATGGCCTGCGCGGTGATGTCAGCCGGCGCCGCGGAAGCGGACGCCTCTGGGGCAGCCGGATCGCCCGAAGAGGAGGAGGAGGAGGAGGAGGAGGAGGAGGAGGAGGAGGAGGAGGAGGAGGAGGAGGAGGAGGAGGAGGAGGAGGGCTGGACTGGACTGGAGCAATCGCGAAGCGATGAGAACGTCACCCTGCCAACACACCGAGACTTCTCGGCTTGGGCGGGGCGAGCTCTTTGGCCACTTGCCTTCGAAAGTACGTTCAATAAGCTCGGCTCTGGCGGGGGTGGGCGGGGCCTGGCACTCCTGGCCCAGAGATCTGAGCTGACCCGACCCGTAGAATCCACACTCCGAATAAAACCAGAGCCGCGACGTGTTATGGCATAACATGGTGTGACTGGGATGTGCGAGACCACCTCCGATACGTACCATATGACCCCTCGGCAACCTCGAAACGTCTGAATTGGGCTGTGATATCAGAGCTGCACACTGGGTATTGCGAAGAGCGGCGGCGGCATGTTTAGCAGTCCCCCATTGCATCTGTCACAGCTCCTACTCTCGTCCGACAACTGCTGGTGGGACGCAACAGCGGACAGAGCTGCTGGGAAGGAGGGGGCAGGCGGACCTTTTTGGGCGGCGGGGACCTTCGATCAGCAACCATCGAATCGAGATGAGCACGAAGAGCCTCTCACGGACAGACAGGCTTTGTGCTCGAGCTGGGGAATATTGAAACGAACGTTTTCTGTCAATCTGCTCTTGTCGGCCGCGGCACTTGCCAACTCATCTGCCGCCGCGTTCCCCTGGACCTTTCGAAGAGGACGAGGGCTGGGCGCGACCTGGGCAGGTGAGGGGTGGGACGGCACTTGCAGCACAACGATATCATCAAAATCTCTGGTTGCACGGAGCTCTCCCAACTCCTTCCACAGGTCCTGACTCTCGCCGATCGGAGCTAGGTACCTCTTGCCATGCCACCCTGCACTGACCGACTCATTGCCGATGGCAGTAATCGCGAAACTACGCGAGAAAAGCAACTCCTAAAAAAGGAAGCCTTGAGTTCTCCGCTGGGGACTGACTGCCCGGGCCCCGCGAGGGGGGCCACGCATGGAAACCCCGATTTGGGAAGAAGGAAAAACGAATGACAAATCAAACTCCGAACCGAACGCGCCGAAGCCCAGCGCCCATGCACCCCTTGCCCCCGCTGGCATTCCCAAAAGGGAAATTGGAGCCCCGAGGGAGCCACTACCGAGCGCTATTGGGCCCAACTCTGAGGCGCCAGAGAGGGCCCAGGAGGGTTCGAGGGGAGAGGGGGGGGCTCTGGCCCAACTAGCTGGGGCGATCTTTCGGAGCCAAAAACATGGGGGGGGGCCTCGGGCCGTGCCATGGCCTCCGCTAGAACAAATCAGACTGGGCGTGGGCGCCAGCCTCATGATTACATTTGCACACCCATGATCGGCGCAGATAAATCGCTGGCCCCTCGTGGCACCGGGGGCGCTCGACTGACTCCTGGCCGCCGACGTCGTCCTGGATCCTCTTCCTGGTCCAGGCGCCTCCTGCTGCGATGCATATCATGAGCTCAGACAGCTGGTGGCCGCGCCGTGCTGACCCCAAAGCGTTCGCAAAAATATCAGCATGCCAAATTGCCCGCTCCATCTGGACGCCCCTCGCCGCAGCGGCGGTTCGCTGGGGCCCTCCAACGGGCCAGCCAGGTGGCGCCCTTGAACTCGTCGACCAAACTGGACACGCCATCTGTAGGACCGAGCTGGTCGAAAATGGTAGCCTCGCTGCCCGCCGACCCGCAGGCATTGCACTCCGCTCTGTCGGGCTGACGGGGCCCCAACCGCACTGGAGTAGGTAGCGGACGGGGGCAGAGAGAGGGCCGCGAACGCGTCGAGGACGAAGGAAAAGAATGGAGAGCTCGGCGAGCACTGAAGACCAAGCCCTTGAAATTCCTGGCTGCAACTTTGGCGCCGTCTGCCATGTGCGAAGCCATAGTCGCGCTGAGTTGGCTGGTAGACGGGGCGCGGGGCCCATGTTCGGGCAGCGCATGTCCAGGACTGCGACGAGGCACGCGGAGAGGGGGCCTTGTCCCGACTTGCGCTGCATGGTCTGCGCCATGCTCCAACTCCATGAATCTGATGTCTGGCGCCCCTGCTGGTTCAATTCATGACGCGGGGGGTATTTCCTGGAAGCTCTCGCGAACCGTGCAACGCGCAAGGCCATCGCTCTTGACTTGACCACCCCCTCGCGCGCAGCGGCCAGCTCCGATATCCACTCCGAGATTCGGAGCCTGGGCCACAGGTAGGGTGGCCGTGCCTCTGCGATTGAGGCGTCGGGAACTTCGCGCCCTGCAGCTCGGGGCATGCCGCGACTGACTTCGCTGCCACTCCCGGCCCGCCCTCAACCAACGACTGACTCGTCTGCCACGAGACTTGGCGCGAAACGTTCCTGATAGTGAAATTGGAGGCTGCGATGGACTAGGACAAATCATCAGTCCATATTCGCACGCTGATTGAAGGGG